CTGGGATGTGCTGGCTGCTGTGACCCTGAGAAAAGGAGGGGGCCCAGAGCCCTCACTGATCTGTTTGCTTGTCCTGGACTTTGTCTCACAGAGCAGCTTCTGGGAAGAGTTTATTGTCCTTAGGCCAGGGTCACCTTCTGGCCTGTCTTCTGGTCTTTGTGGAAGAGAAGCTGGATCGACATGACACTGTACATTTGAAGTTCTGCTTATTTCCTGTGCCAGTATCGACCGAGCCCTGCAGTGTGTTGGGCACAATGCTAGGCACTGGGACGCCACCATACAGAAACTTGGGTGTCCTGCTGTGTTCAGCGAGCTGATGTCAGGGGAAAAGGGAATCAGACAAGTCAAAGGGAGCCGACTGAATTCCAACGAGTGATGAGAAGCTGAAGAGGTAGAAATTTGGAGGGGCAGAGGCTCATCTCCCGCAGGGATTAGGAGAAGGTTCCTGGATGAGATGCCTGGAAAAAAGAGCAGTGCTTGGGAAGGGGAAGGTGGGAAGGGAGGGAGAGAAAAGCAGATGGGCAGGTGGGATGTATGCTGTGGGAATGTGGAGGTGTCTGGGATGGGAGCAGGAGCTGATGAAGAGGGTGGGGAAGGTGGCTGGGAAGGGGGTTGGGACCAGCTGGCGCAGAGGTCTGAAAGTGATTAGCCTTTTGGGTGGGAGATACTTAAGATATTTTGAGCAAGGGTGTGATGAGTTCAAGACTGGGCTGTTGAGAGATGGCTAGCACCAAGCCTGGTCCATGTAAAGTGCTAGAAGCATGTTTGCACAGGGGGAGGGTGGACAGGGGATGGGGAGAGCTAATTATGACCTGTGCCTGTCATGCTTCTCAGCATCATTTGTGTCCAAATTCATTTACTGCTCACAACTCCCCACAAGTGACAGATATTATTGTTAATATTATCCTCATGGTACAGAGGAAGAGGAGAAATTGGCCTACCCTATGCATGTGGGAGATGGGGGCCAGGGTGGACAGAAAGCAGCTATGGTTGCTGCTGATTGAGAATGGGGAGGGTAACTGTGTTGCTGGTGCCAGCGGGACAGCACATGGGCCCAGACCTGCTCTGAGTTCCACCCCCACACAGCCAACTGTCTGCTTGATTTGCCCAGAGCCCCTCCATCTGGTATGTCCAAATTGAACTCCTGACCTTTGTCTCCTCCTCCCCACAGCCCGCTACTAAGCCAGGTCTTCCCCCTGTTGTCCACTCCAGTGAAGGCCATCGTTATCCAGCTGGGCATCCAAGCCAGAAGGCTGGGTGGCATCTTGGGTGCCTCACTCTCCTTGACCACCTACCCCACCTCCCACCCTCTGAATATCCCTCTAATCCATTAACTTCTCTCCCCATCCCCAGTCACCACCTAGTTCAAGCCGCCCTCATCCCTCATTTAGACGGCTGATCTCCTCCTTCCACTCTGCTCCAGGCAGCAGCCAGAATCACCATTTAAAAAGGTCAGTCTGCTGCAGGACTTCCCCTGTCTCACACACCCTATCCTGAGTGGTATGGCCCCTGCTGACCCCTCTATGTCACCTAGCCCATGGCCCCTCTGAGTCTCTCAGCTTCAACTGCAGAGACTTCTTTTAGATCCAGGTAGGCAGGTGTTTCTCCACTCATTCGTTCAGCAACCCACAATTTCTTCATTTACACCTGCTGGGTTTAGGGTGTTGAAGCAGACAGGCCTGGCCCAGCCCTCAGGGAGTTCACACTGAGGTGTGGAGGTAAAGTCACAAAATGAGTTCATTGGGTCTTAGCACATGTTGCTCCTCTGCCTGAAAAAGTTTTTCTTGAAACTTCCACTCATGCGGTGCTTGCTTGGGGCAACCTCTCCTGGATGGCCAGGCTGGACCAGGCGGCTTTTCTGCACAGTACTGACCTCAGTTGGCAAGGGCAGCTTGTTAGTATGCATGGCCGTCTCCCCCTTCGACTGTAAGCCCCACAGGGACAGGCCCTTGTCTGTCTTGTTCATAGTTGTCCTCCAGGGCCAGGCTAGTAGACCCTTGTCTGTAGAATGAAATATATATATACACATATATATACACAATATAACTTTTTTTTTTTTTTGAGAAGGAGTCTCGCTCTGTTGCCCAGGCTGGAGTGCAGTGACACGATCTTGGCTCAGTGCAATCTCCGCCTCCCAGGTTCATGTGATTCTCATGCCTCAGCCTCCTGAGTAGCTGGGATTACAGGAGCAGTGTGCTACAATTTTTTTTATTGTGGTAAAATATACAGAACATAATATTTATTATTTAACCATATTTAAGAATACAGTTCAGTGGCTTCAGTACACTCATGTTGTGCAGCCATCACCACCATCCATCTCCAGGACTTTTTCATTTTCCCCAGCTAAAACTCTGCACCCATTAAACACTACCCACCAACTCCCTCCTCTCCCCAACCACTGGCAACCACCATTCTACTTTCTGAATCTGTGATTTTGACTACTACAGGTACCTTACATAAGTGAAATCATACTTTTGTCCTCTTGTGACTGCCTTATTTTGTTTAGCATAATGTCCTCAAGGGTCATCCATGTTGTAGCACGTCAGAACATCCTTCCTTTTTAAAAATTTATTTATTTTGAGACAGAGTCTCACTCTGTCACTCAGGTTGGAGTGTAGTGCCAGGATCACGGCTCACTGCAGCCTCAACCTCTGGGGCTCAACTGATTCTCCCACCTCAGCCTCCCAGGTAGCTGGGACTACAGGCATGCACCACCACACCCAGCTAATTTTTTAAATTTTTTGTATAGAAGGGGCATCTCACTGTGTTGCTTAGACTGGTTTCAAGTGATCCTCCCACCTTGGCCTCCCAAAGTGCTGGGATTAGGTGCGAGTCATAGTGTGCCGCCTCTAGAGCACTAACTTTAAAAAGCTTACAATTACAAATCCTTCTTCTGTCCCTCTGAGATATATACCTATGTATTTCCTACATCCTAGGAATGTCTTTCTCAAGGACCTGAAATCCATTCCTTTGAAATGTAATCATCAGAAAGGTAGGGCTCATGTCTCCCAGTCTATGTGGGAGAATAGAATCCTGACTTCCCTGATTGCCAGCTAGCAGACACAGTTGGCCTAATCACATTTACGCTAACCAATCCTTTTAATTTTTCACTTCCCAGACTCTAAGTGAGTCCCTGCTTGCTCCCCTGCCTACTCCCTTATTCTTCCTTTGGAATGCCCAATCACCTCTGCACAAATAGAATGGAGTTCAGCTCTTTCCCCTACCGCCAGTAGTTACTGAATAAAATCTATTTTCACCGTTTTAATGCTTGGCTTTGTTTACGTCTCGCTCTGTCACCCAGACTGGAGTGCAGTGGCGTGATCTCGGCTCACTGCAAGCTCTGCCTCCTGGGTTCACGCCATTCTCCTGCCTCAGCCTTCTGAGTAGCTGGGACTACAGGTGTGCGGCACCACGCCCGGCTAATTTTTTGTATTTTTAGTAGAGATGGGGTTTCACCGTGTTAACTAGGATGGTCTTGATCTCCTGACCTCGTGATCCGCCTACCTTGACCTCCCAAAGTGCTGGGATTACAGGCATGAGCCACCACGCCCGGCCTGTTTATCTTTAATAATATCATTAACTAGAGTTCAATATTTACTTATGGTTCTTTTTGTTTGGTTTTCTAGTGAAGATGAAATTTGCTTTGAGGGAAAATGTGCAAATATTAAATTTAGCATTAGATAATTTTGACAAATCCATACACCCAAATCTCCTATCAAGAGATAGATCAAGGATGAGGAGAAATTTGAACCCTTGTGGATTGCTGATGGGAATGTAAAACGGTTCAGCTTGCTGTGGAAAATGGTGTGGTGGTTTCTCAGTACATTAAACTAGAATTAGCATATGATCCAGCAATTTCACTTCTGAGTGTATACCCAAATGAATTAAAAAGAAAGCAGGGATTCAAACAGATATTAGTACACCCATGTTTATAGCAGAATTATTTACAATAGTTAAAAGATGGAAGCTATCCATGTCCATGACTGCATGAATGGATAAACAAATTGTGGTATATATATATACAATGGAATATTATTTGGCCATAAAAAGGAAAGACGCCAGGCACAATGGCACACATATCGGCATTTTGGGAGGCCAATGTGGGTGAACTGCTTGAGCCCGGGAGTTCAAGACCAGTCTGGGGAACTTAGTGAGACTCTGTCTCTGAAAAAAATAAAATAGAATTAGCCAGGCATGGAGGTGTGTGCCTGTAGTTGGGAGGATGGCTTGAGCCCAGGAGGTCTAAGCAGCAGTGGGCACCATTGCACCACTGCACTCCAACCTGGGTGACAGGGCCAGAGGCTGTCTCAAAAAAAAAAAAAAAAAAAGCGCTCTAGAAAAGGGAGGCATTGGCTGGAACAAATGATGAATTCTTTTGGCACCCCTGAGCTTTCTTGGGCAGACATTTCAAAGGGGCCTAGGTCCACCTAGAGATCCGCCGTTAGGCTATTAGCATGACGCCATGCTAGAGTTTAGTCAGGTCTCTTTAGTGCAGTGGTTAGGGCAGTCGTTAACTGCTGAGGAGTCTTTGTAGTTCTCAACTAGCAGGCGAAAGTTTTTAGGGATGAAAGGTACTGATATCTCCAATTTACTTTGAATGTATCAAAAAATAGGATGGATTGCTGGATGCAGAGACGGCATGTGATAAAGCGGATACAGCAAATGTTACTGGTAGAGTCTGTCACCAATCATTAGAACATGAGCTCCAGGAGGGCAGGGGCTTTGTCGGCCTGGCACATAGGCAGTCAATAAATATTCGTAGAATGAACGAACAATACTTGTAACGGGCTTAGGACAAACAAGTGCACAATAAGAGGAAGCTTTCCCTGACTCTGCCGTGGCGGGGACCCGGACGGTGGAACCGACGAACAGATAGCGCGCTGGGCCTGAAGAAGTCGCTCTGGCCTCCTGGAGCCTCTGCTCTATGGCGGGTCCTCCCGGGGCTGCGGAACCGCTCTGGCCGCTCGTGGCGTCCGCTCTATGGCGGTCTTGTGGGGGACGCAGGAGCATGCGCAGGACTGCTCCCGGCCCGGATCGCTATGGCAGCGGCGTCGCCTAGGGCTGGGACCCTGCGATCCCGCCCGGGCGTGGCTGCCTCAACAGCCGCCCCCACTGCACACTTTAGGGCATGAACCGAGCCTCCTGCTGCCGCCCGCTGCCCTACCCGCCGCTGCTGCCGCATCCCGACTCTGGGCCAGCGCTGGGAACATGCCCCTGGCCGCCTACTGCTACCTGCGGGTCGTGGGCCAGGGGAGCTACGGAGAGGTGACGCTTGTGAAGCACCGGCGGGACGGCAAGCAGGTCTGCAGGGGTGAGGCCCGGCAAGGGCCGGGGGCGGGCAGAGGTGCGCTGAGGGCGCCTACCGGTAGATTAGATCGGGAGTGGTCGCAAGGGGCTCATCTCGGATGGCATTTCCTCAGGGAGATGGTCCCAGACCAAGATGAGGCCAGGCCTCCCTGTAATATGCGCCCAGAACTTCCTCTACTTCTTTGTTGTATTAATTTTTTTCCTTTTAATTTTCATTTTCTTTAATTACGATTCTTCGTTTTATGAAAAATTTTCAGTCTCTGCATATCTATTTCTTTGTTGTATTAATTGACATGCTTGATCTACACACCTTTCTCCTACCCCCGACAATCTCATGAGAGCAGGTATCATGCATTCCCAGGACTTAACACAGCGCCTAGCAAGCATTATTCCTTGCATAATGGGCCCCAAACGTCTCTACTGTAGACTACTGGACTCACTTAAAACTCGGACTCATTTTCTTCCCGCTAAACCTTCTTTCATGTCTTCCGTTTCAGTGAATAGCGACACCAACCCACCAGTTGCCCAAGCCGGACACCTGAAGTCATTTTTAAGCCTCCCCACGCACCCCAACACTGATTATATTTATCTATCACTAAGACAGTAGGCCTCCTCTCATCTCTATTGGTACCACCCCAATCCAGGACACCTTGTTTTCTCTAGCTAGGCTATGGCCACAGTTTCCCAACTGGTCGCCGCTACTTAACTTGCTTTTCTCCAATCCATCACTTTCATTGCAGCCTTAGTGATCCTTCTAAAATTTAAATCTGATGTTGTCACTCCTCCTTTCTTTAAAACACTTTATCCCATTACCCTCAGGATAATCAACCAATTCTTCAATGTGGTATATTAATAGGGTGACAATATAATGTATTGTACAAACTGGGACAATTTTGAAACTGAAAGGAGGCACTATCAATAGTTACACCAGGACAATAGGACTGCTCCAGCCAAGCTGAGAGGAGATGTCCCCGTTAAATATAGGGCCCAATTGCCTGTTCTTCCTTGTCTCTGGTGCTAGTTGCTTTGTCTGAAACACAAGCTCATGCATAAGAGATTTATTCAGTAGGCATTGGGGGAATCATTGGATTTTGGGGCTGATAAAAGGGAATTAGCAATAGCTAGTTTGAGCTTTAGTTTACACTTCACAAAACACATTTATATATGTGTTGAAGAAATGAATTGTATGGTCTTTGAAATGATTGAGGGCAATGTATTAGGTGTTAGAGGCTATTGATTTCTTTTAAGTGTGAATAATTTTCTATGCTGAAGATCAGTGACTATTAAACTTATGGGGCCATGGATCCCTTTGAGTATCTAATGTAATCCATGGACTATTCTGTCTGCAAATGTATATTCAGGCCATATTTTGTGCACCTTTTTGGGAGAGTTTAGATGTTAAGAAATTTTTTTTTTTTTTTTTTTTTTTTAAATTTTTTTTGAGACAGAGTCTTGCTCTGCCTCCCAGGCTGGAGTGCAGTGGTGCGATCTTAGCTCACTGCTGCAATTTCTGCATCCCACGTTCAAGCGATTCTCCTGTGTCAGCCTTCCGAATTGCTGAGACTACAGTTACACACCACCACGCCGGGCTAATTTTTGTATTTTTGGTAGAGACGGGTTTCACCGTGTTGACCAGGCTGGTCTTGAACTCCTGACCTCAGGTGATCCACCCACCTTGCCCTCCCAAAGTGCTGGAATTACAGTCGTGAGCCACTGTGTACGGCCAGACATTAAGAAATTGCTAACACAGGTTTTATAATTGATCCAATGGTATGTTATCTTGAACTCACTTTTTTTAGTCATTAATGAAATTGTGAAATGCAGATGGAAAGGTAATTTTTTTGTGGCCCTACAGTGCTATAAATCTAACTTATAAGAAGTATCATTAATAATAGCAAATATTTTCCCCGATTTTGTACTTGGTGAAAAACAAAATGAATAGGTTATCTGACAGGCTCTACAAGGTTGGTTTTGAGGATATTCTTGAGAGCCCTTAGATAACTCTGAGGCCACAAATCTTATGTTTATTTGCACATTGTAAAAATACATGTTTTCTTTTTAGTATGTCATCAAAAAACTGAACCTCCGAAATGCCTCTAGCCGAGAGCGGCGAGCTGCTGAACAGGAAGCCCAGCTCTTGTCTCAGTTGAAGCATCCCAACATTGTCACCTACAAGGAGTCATGGGAAGGAGGAGATGGTCTGCTCTACATTGTCATGGGCTTCTGTGAAGGAGGTGATCTGTACCGAAAGCTTAAGGAGCAGAAAGGGCAGCTTCTGCCTGAGAATCAGGTGGTAGAGTGGTTTGTACAGATCGCCATGGCTTTGCAGGTACTGTGTAGACTAATAGCATCCTAGCTTGTTCCCAGATGACAAGAAGATGGCAGGTTTATTTTAGGAAAATTTTTCTTCAGATACTTACATATGGAAATGTATTTTTTGGAAAATTCATTTGTGAAGTTGACCCAGTCACTCTAGCTATAGCATTGGAACTTTTCTAAGAAACTGATACCTATATTAAAATAGACCTAGATTTCATGTCTAATTGCAGGGGAAGCCCACTCATTTAGTATTTATAGCAAAGTCAATTTTAAGGACCCTGAGGCAACCAAGAGCAAAGAGTGACTATGTTTGTTATCCATTGGTCAGTTGTGTCATGCTGAAAGGTAGCTAGGCTAATTGATACGCCCAAGTGATTTCATCTATCACCCTGCTGGGGTACAGTAGATGGAAATGCAAAATAAGTTTTCTTTTTTTTTTATTTTTTAGAATTGGGCAGCACTTCATTCTATAAGATGGAATAAGTGTTCCTACACGTTTGTGTTTTAATATGCATGTAACTCAAAAGCAAGACTGTTTATGAAATATTATTTTGGAACTGGGTAGACTTGTCCAGAATTAATTGACCATGTTTAAATTCTGAGATACTTTCTCTAAATAAAAATGCTCTTGCTATACTTGAAAATATTATTAAGCTGAGGATTTCATGTGTCTGACTTTGTATAAGTTGCCTACCTTCAGTGGGAGTTTGTAAGCATTTTTTTTTTTGAGACAGAGTGTCACTGTCGCCCAGATTCAAGTGCAATGGCACAATCATGGCTTGTTCCAACCTCCCACTCCTGTGTTCAAGATTCTCATGCTTCAGCCTCCCAAGTAGCTGGGATTATAGGCATGCGTCACCATGCCCAGCTAATTTTTGTATTTTTTTAGTAGAGATGGGGTTTTGCCATGTTGGCCAGGCTGGTCTTGAACTCCTGGCCTCAAGTGATCCGCCCACCTCAGCCTCCCAAACTGCTGAACAATGCGCCCGGCCTGTAAACATATTTTTAAACTGGATTCATGTAGTCCCAAAATGTATTAATTGTCAAGCTACCAGAGAACAGTTTTGATGTGTACTGGGTAAGTCAATGCATAGAACTTAATTTTCTCATTTGAAATATTGTAAATTAGACCTTTTATTTAGAGATTATAAAGCAATGATGTTTGGTAGGTATTTGTTTGTTGAATAAGGAATTGTATGGTTGGTTACTCTTTATGGTCAAAGACTGTAACTCATGCCATTGCTGATGGTATATAATAGGCCAGGAATAAATACATAATTAAGTCTATTTATATGTAATAAAATCTTGTTTCTTTCCTCAGTATTTACATGAAAAACACATCCTTCATCGAGATCTGAAAACTCAAAATGTCTTCCTAACAAGAACAAACATCATCAAAGTGGGGGACCTAGGAATTGCCCGAGTGTTAGAGAACCACTGTGACATGGCTAGCACACTCATTGGCACACCCTACTACATGAGCCCTGAATTGTTCTCAAACAAACCCTACAACTATAAGGTAGAATTGGGCTCTGTATGCTGGCTTACCTTGTCTCTAGGAGAGTACTCGTAATTTCAGAAGTTAGTTAAGTCAGATAATTATGAATTGGTTTAAGGAAAATGTTTTCTTTTTTTAAAGGGGAAAAAATGTAAATAAGCTATTCTGACATTTAACCATTTACTGTTTTTATTTTCTAGTCTGATGTTTGGGCTCTAGGATGCTGTGTCTATGAAATGGCTACCCTGAAGCATGCTTTCAATGCAAAAGATATGAATTCTTTAGTTTATCGGATTATTGAAGGAAAGGTAAAGAATAATCTAGAACTAATTGACCAGTATTTCTATAGTGCAGCTTTATAAATAGCTACTAGCAAAATCATTGATGATTTTGATGAGTCAGTGAGTAATTATTGATATTGGGTTGATAGTTAACAGTGGTGGGTCCCCTCTGTGGGGAAGGTCAGACTAGAGGGAAAGGGATTGATGGATCATTTCTTAATATTAATCTGTAAGACGGCTTAATGGCTGAAAAGAATTGGCTTTTTGAAAACCTATGCCTATAGTCATAGGATGTGCAGATGCCCTGAGAGGCTATTTATCTCTTCTTCTAAGCAGCCTATGATTGAATGAGCTACATTTAAAATGAGTTTACCCTGTTTGAACTTGTTGTTCCTTTGATAATCATCACAATAATCAATAACTAGTTAAGAACCACAGAAAGCATTGTGTCTGATGTAGACTCCAGAGTGACCGACTTTGTATGTTCCATGAGGCTAGTTGCCCTTTATAGTGTCAGGCATCCGTGTACTGTTAAGGGATTTTTTTTTTTTTTTGAGATGGAGTTTTGCTCTTGTCTCCTAGGCTGTAGTGCAATGGCATGATCTCAGCTCACAGCAACCTCTACCTCCTGGGTGTAAGTGATTCTCGTGCCTTAGCTTACCAAGTAGCTGGGATTACAGGCATATGTCACCATGCCCAGCTAATTTTTATATTTTTAGTACAGATGGGGTTTTACCATGTTGGCCAGGCTGGTCTCGAACCTCAGGTGACGTGCCCGCCTCAGCCTCCCAAAATGCTGGGATTGCAGGTGTGAGCCACCGCGCCTGGCCAATGTACTGTTAAGTTTTAAAGGCCATGAATCACCTATTGATTTTAATACTATCCCACAACTCATTTAATTTTTCAATTTGAAACATATTGAAAAACATACACAAAAGTAAAATTTTCCCATGATGCCACTACTTAAGAATCAAACAAGAAGGGAGTGAAATTCTCTTCTCCTTCTATTCCCATTCCCTGGAAGATGACCATTGCTAGCAATTTGGTACATGGCCTTTCTGTTTTTTTCCTGCCTTTATACAGACATAACTCTGTGTGTGTGTGTGCATGTGCACACGTATGCCCACAGATTCTTAAACTGAAATGGAATCAGGCTGTTTACATGGTACATAACTTGTTTTTTTGACTTAATACATGAGGGACATCTTTCCAAGTTGGTACCTGCAAGTCTTGTTTTTTTTTTTTTTTTTTTTTTTAAGACGGAGTCTCACTCTGTCACCCAGGCTGGAGTGCAGTAGCACAATCTTGGCTCACTGCAAGCTCTACCTCCTGGGTTCACACTATTCTCCTGCCTCAGCCTCCCAAGTAGCTGGGACTACAGGTGCCCGCCACCATGCCCAGCTAATTTTTTGTAGTTTTAGTAGATACAGAGTTTCACTGTGTTAGCCAGGATGGTCTCGATCTCCTGACCTCATGATCCACCCGTCTGGCCTCCCAAAGTGCTGGGATTACAGGCATGAGCCACTGTGACTGGCTTCTTCTTTATAAGAAGAATGTATGATAATTTATTCCACAGATCCACTATGGGACATTTATGTTTCCAGTTGTTTACTACTGCAAGAACAGTACTGCATTGAACATCCTGGTACATAAGTCTTTAGGAAACTCATACTCTTATTTCTGAATGAGAGTGTCATCAGATGGGACTGCTGGGTTGAAGGATATACTTTTATAATTTTACAACTTGTTATCTTACAACTGGGATACCAGTACGCTTCCTGTAGACTAACATACTGATTGTTTTCTGCTTATGTGGATATATGACTATAAATAAATATTGGGAAACCTCTATCAGCTTTTACTTTGTTTCACAAGACCATTAGTCATAATTACAGTATTATTTTTCTTTGTAGCTGCCACCAATGCCAAGGGATTATAGCCCAGAGTTGGCAGAACTGATAAGAACAATGCTGAACAAAAGGCCTGAAGAAAGGCCGTCTGTGAGGAGCATCCTGAGGCAGCCTTATATAAAGCGGCAAATCTCCTTCTTTTTGGAGGCCACAAAGATGTAAGCTACTTCCCTTGCAAATAGCTGGGCTAAATAGATGGGGTAAAAGAGGGTGGCTTCTATAATATTCATATGTGAGAATTAATGGTGGGTTTTTTTTTTAAAAACAAGAAATAAAATGGCCTGATTACATATGTAGAGGAGGCAAGATTCTACCCTCTTAGGGTTTTTTGGCTGAGTTTGAGAATTAAACTTACAATTTAACAGGAGAAAAGCATATAGATTTATTAAATACCTGAATAAGTTTTATGTGACACAGGAGCCCTCACAAGGAAATGAAGACCCAAAGAAGGGGCAAAACCTAAATGCTTTTGTGCTTGATTCAACAAAGAAAGGGAATTGTGGAAAAGTAAACTATGTGGAGAGGCTAAAGGAAGATAAGAATTATTTTAATAAGGTCTGTTTATAGAATTCTCTCAGTTCAGCTTTCCATTCTTAATAATAAGAATGTTACTTTCCTTCTGATACAGGGAGGACATATTTCATATGGGAGTTTTATCTTCTGCTTTCTGGAAGAAAAAGGGAAGGTCAGAGTATCCTTCTTGCACTTACTTTTTTTTTTTTTTGAGATGGAGTCTTGCTGTGTCACCCAGGCTGGAGTGCAATGGCATGACCTCAGCTCACTGAAACCTCCGCCTCTTGGGTTCAAGCAATTCTCCTGCATCAGCCTCCCCAGTAGCTGGGATTATAGGCGCCCGCCACTGTGCCCGGCTAATTTTTGTATTTTTAGTAGATACAGGGTTTCACCATGTTGGCCAGACTGGTCTTGAACTCCTGACCTCGTGATCCGCCCGCCTCAGCCTCCCAAAGCTTGCACTTACTTTTTAAAGAACCTTAGCCCAAAATGATCTTTATGCCAAAGTAGCACTTTTGGCATGGCATATTCTCCCAGGCTTCAAATACATGTTGAAATTTGCTTAATTGCTAAAATCAGAAATTTGGAGAACCACTGTCACATTCCTCAGAGGGTTCTAAGACATATAGTGTAAATTTATTTTATTTTATTTAATTTTATTTATTTTATTTTTATTTTTTATTTTTTTAATTTTTTTTAAAAGGACATATGCACTACTCTGGGCTCACTGCCTATGAGTTAGCCCTGTTCTCAAGGAGCAGCCAAATAATAAAAGAGGGCTGGCCGGGTGCGGTGGCTCAAGCCTGTAATCCCAGCACTTTGGGAGGCCGAGATGGGCGGATCACGAGGTCAGGAGATGGAGACCATCCTGGCTAACACGGTGAAACCCCGTCTCTACTAAAAAATACAAAAAGCTAGCCGGGCGAGGTGGTGGGCGCCTGTAGTCCCAGCTACTTGGGAGGCTGAGGCAGGAGAATGGCGGGAACCCGGGAGGCGGAGTTTGCAGTGAGCTGAGATCCGGCCACTGCACTCCAGCCTGGGCGACAGAGCGAGACTCCGTCTCAAAAAAAAAAAAAAAAAAAAAAGAGGGCATATGTTTTAGAACTCATATTATAATTAGAGATTATCTGAGAAACCTATATGTCTTTATGTAATGGTAATATTTAAAAGTAGTGCTCACATTTCTGAGCTTGCATAAAGTTCCCTCTTCGTTCATATAACTTTCATATAACTTCCCGAGAGAATTCCTTGCTTTGACTTGCAGGTCCTGCCTTTACTAAACAGGTGTTCCAGGATCTAAGACTTAGGGCTGGACAAAACTATCACAATCTGTTTGGCTTCTCCTCTTGCCTTGTGAGAGAGGTGGCAATGCTACAGATTCCTGAGGGAATAAAGAATAACCATCTTGGCCGGGCGCGGTGGCTCACGCCTATAATCCCAGCACTTTGGGAGGCCGAGACGGGTGGATCACGAGGTCAGGAGATCGAGACCATCCTGGCTAACACGGTGAAACCCCGTCTCTACTAAAAATACAAAAAATTAGCCGGGCGCAGTGGCGGGCGCCTGTAGTCCCAACTACTCGGGAGGCTGAGGCAGGAGAATGGTGTAAACCCGGGAGGCGGAGCTTGCAGTGAGCTGAGATCCGGCTACTGCACTCCAGCCTGGGTGACAGGGCGAGACTTCGTCTCAAAAAAAAAAAAAAGAATAACCATCTTTTTGTGTACATTGTCTATATAATTTCCCACCAAGCAGAACTTTGGCCTTCCAGTACACTGATCTCCATGCTTGTCTTGAATTCTCCAGAGGTTTAGCCCAGTTTTAAAACTGACATGCTAAAATAGTTGGGGATATTATTCCTGTATACATTTATTCTATAAGCATTAAGTATACCAATCAGTTTTACTCTCAAAGTTAGCCAAGCAGTTGTGATATTATTACAAACATGTAAAATTTGAAAATGAAAATTAACGTGGTACTCCCATATGTGAGGCAGTCTCCCACAGAATTTTTATTTTGGAATAATTTTGTATAAGCAGAAAAGTTGGAAAGATAGTGTGGACAGTTCCTGTATACCCCTCATCTAATTTCTTCTGTGATTACTAGATTACATACCCTGATGCATTTGTCAAAACTAAGAAACCATCATTGAAATATTACTATTCACTCGGCCATGCGTGGTGGCTCATGCCTGTAATCCCAGCACTTTGGGAGGCTGAGGCTGGCAGATCACCTGAGGTCAGGAGTTTGAGACAAGCCTGGCCAACATGGCGAAACCCCATCTCTACTAAAAAAGAAATACAAAAAAATTAGCCAGGCGTGGTGGCACACACCTGTAGCTGCAGCTACTCAGGAGGCTGAGGCACAAGAATTGCTTGAACCCGGGCAGTGGAGGTTGCAATGAGCTGAGATCACACCACTGCACTCTAGCCTGGGTGACAGAGTGAGATTCTGTCTCAATTAAAAAAAAAAAAAAGAAAGAAAGAAAAGTATTACTATTGACTAAATTTCAGACTTTCTTTGGCTTTCACCAGTTTTTTTTCTCTAACGTCTCTTTTCTATTCCAGGATCCAATCCAGGATATAGTACATCTAATCAGGGGTCTGTGATCGTTTCTCACTTTCTTTATTTTTTATGACCTTGTTTCTTTCAAAGACTACTGGTCAGGTGTTTTGTAGGATGCCCCTTAGATTTTTAGAAAACTGTTCTCTATAAATGGTGCAGTTCTGTAAGGGAATTCATTGTATACACACACTCCCACCTATACGTAGAAACCCATAATCTTCAGTATATTGATAATAACTCTTTCTTTTCTTCTTCATAAAGAAAAACCTCCAAAAGTAACATTAAAAATGGTGACTCTAAATCCAAGCCTTTTGCTACAGTGGTTTCCGGAAAGGCAGAATCAAATCATGAAGTAATCCACCCCCAACCACACTCTTCTGAGGACTCCCAGACATATATAATGGTATGTTTCTTTTTAAAGGGTATGTGTTTTAGAAACTGCACTTAGAAAAATGGGCCATTTAAGCAAATTATTTTATGTGAAATGATTATGCTTTACTAGAGATTCTGTTGTACAATTAATTCCTTATTGTAAAGAAAGAGTACTGGTTAAGTGATTGATTTAGCTTTATCCAAATTGGGCTGTCAAAATGTTCATGAAATCAGTGCTGTAATAACTTTTAAGAATTTTTTAGGTGAAATTTATATAACGAAATTAACCATTTTAAAGTAAACAATTAAGGTGGGTGCGGTGGCTCATGCCTGCAATTCTAGCACTCTGGGAGGCCGAGGCTGGCAGATCACCTGAGGTCAGGAGTTCAAGACCAGCCTGGCCAACATGGAGAAACCCCGTCTCTACTAAAAATACAAAAATTAGCCAACTGTGGTGGCGTGTGCCTGTAGTCCTAGCTACTCAGGAGGCAGAGGGAGGAGAATAGCTTGAACCTGGGAGACGGAGGTTGCAGTGAGCCAAGATTGTACGACTGTACTCCAACCTGGGTGACAGAATGAGACACTGTTTCAAAAATAAAAATAAATAATTAAATAAAGTGATCAATTAAGTGTGGCCAGTACATTCACAGTGTAGTGCAACCATCACTTCTATGTAGTTCCAAAACATTTTCATCACCCCAAAGGAAATCTCTTCCTCATTAAGCAGTCACTCCCCATTTTGTCCTTCACCTAGCCTCTGGCAACCACCAGTGTGTTTCCTGTCTCTATGAAGTCACCTTTCCTGGATATTTCATGTAAATAGGATCATTAAATATATGACCTTTTGTTTCTGGTGTCTTCCACATAGCATATTTTCAAGGTTGATCCATGTAGCATGTATAAATACTTCATTTCTTTTTAGGTCTGGCTACCATTGTATGGATATACCACAGTTTGTTTATCCATTCATCCATTAGTAGACATTTGAGTTTTTTTCACCTTTTGGCTATTGCTATGAATATATGTGTACATGTAGTTGAGTACCTGCTTTCCGTTCTTTTGTGTCCATACCTAGCAGTGGAATTACTGAATCAAATGGTAATTTTTGATTTGACTTTTTTTTGGTTTGACTTTTTGAGGAACTGTTGCACTGTTTTCTACAGTGGCTGTACCATTTGACATTCCCATCAGCACTGCACAAGGGTTTCAGTTTCTCTACATCTTTGCCGACACTTGTTATTTTCTGATTTTTTTATTCTAGCCATCCTAGCGGGTGTAAAGTGGTATCCTATTGTATTTTTGATTTGTATTTCCCTAATGATTAATGACATACAGCATCTTTTCACATGCGTGTTGGCCATTTGTATGTCTTCTTTGGAGAAATATCTGCTAAAGCTTTTGCCTTTTTTTTTTATACAGGGTCTCACTCTGTTGCCTAGGCTGGAGTACAGTGGTGTGATCATGGCTCACTCTAGCTTCTACCTCTCGGGATCAAGTGATCCTCCCACCTCAGCCTCCTGAGTAGCTGGGACCACAGCATGCTGCCATGCCTGGCTAATTTTTTTATTTGTAGAGACAACATCTTTCTATATTGCCCGGGCTGGTCTCAAACTCCTGGGCTCAGGCGATCCTCCTACCTTGGCTTTCCAAACAAAGTGCTGGGTTTACAGACATGAGCCACTGTGCCCAGGCTTTTTTTTTCTTTTTTTAAGAGAGGATCTTGCTCTGTCACCCAGGCTGGAGTATAGTGGCATCATCATAGCTCACCACAGCCTCTGAACTTGACTCAAGGGATCCTCCTACCTCAGCCTTCCGATTAACTGGGTCTACAGGTGCACGCCACCATACCTGGCTAACTATTACGATTATTTTTGTAGAGGTGGGTCTCACTATGTTGCTCAGGCTGGTCTCGAACTCCTGGGCCCAAGCAGTTCAGTTCTTCTGCCTTTTCCTCCCAAAGTGCTGATATTACAGGTATGAGCCACATCACCCAGCCCCTGCCCAGTTTTAAATTGTGTTTTTGTCTTTTTGTTGTTGAGTCGTAAGAGTTCTCTATCTGTGTTCCAGATGCTAGTCCCTTGTCAGACTAGTATCTGGTCAAACTTGCAATATTTTCTCCATTGTATAGGTTGTCTTTTCTTTCCCTTTTTAATTAACTTTTCTTTTTTGTTTTTAAAAATTTCTTTTGTTTTCTTCACTTTCTTGATAATGTCCTTTTCACAAAAGCTTCTAATTTTGATGAAGTCCAGTTTATCTATTTTTTTATTTTGTAGTCATAGCTAAGAATCCCTTGCCAAATCCAACGTCTTGAAGGTTTATGCCATAGTTTCTTATAACAATTTTATAGTTTTAGCTCTTATATTTAGGTTGTCGATCCAATTTTAGTTTTTTCATTATGATAAAATACACATAATGTAAAATTTACTATCTTAATCGTTTGTAAATGTACAATTCAGTGGTGTTAAATACATCTATAATGTTATGCAGCCATCATCACTCATCTTCATGACTCTCATATTGTAAAACTGAACTCTGTTCTCTTTAAACAGTATCTCCCCATTCCCTACTACCCCAGTCCCTGGCAACCACTGTTCTACCATTCTTCTTCTTCTTTTTTTTTTTTTTTTGAGATGGAGTCTTGCTGTGTCGCCCAGGCTAGAGTGCAGTGGCATGATCTCAGCTCACTGCAACCTCCACCTCCCTGGTTCAAGCAATTCCCCTGCCTCAGCCTCCCGAATAGCTGGGATTACAGGTGCATGCCACGACATCTAGCTAATTTTTTTGTGTTATTAGTAGAGACAGGGTTTCACCATGTTGGCCAGACTGGTCTCCAACCCTTGACCTCAGGCAATCCACCCGCCTCGGCCTCCCAAAGTGCTGAGATTACAGGTGTGAGCCACTGTGCCTGGCCCACCATTCTACTTTCTATCTCCATGGTTTTGACTAGTGTAAGTACCTTGGATAAGGGGATCATGCAGTATTTGTCTTTCATGACTGCCTTGTTTCGTTTCACATAATATCCTCAAGGTTCATCCATGTTGTGACATATGTCAGAATTTCCTTCCTTTTTAATGCTGAATAATATGTTGTATGTGTCCCACATTTTGTTTATCCGGTTCATCTGCAGATGTACATTTGTGTTGTTTCCACCTTTTTGCTATTGTGAATAATGCTGCTATGAACATGGGTGTACACGTATCTCTTTGAGACCCTGATTTCTTTTTTCTTTTTTTCTGAGATGGAGTCTCACTGTTACCCAGGTTGGAGTGCAATGGCGCAATCTTGGCTCACTGTAACTTCCACCTCCTGGGTTCAAGCGATTCTCCTGCCTCGGCCTCCCAAGTAGCTGGGATTACGGGCATGTGCCACCATGCCCAGCTAATTTTTGTATTTTTAGTAGAGATGGGATTTCACCATGTTGGCCAGGCTGGTCTCAAACTCCTGACCTCAAGTGATCCACCCGCCTTAGCCTCCCAAAGTGCTGGAATTACAGGTGTGAGCCACTGCTCCCAGCCAAGACCCTGATTTCTGTTTTTTTGGGTATATAACCAGAAGTGGAACTGCTGACCACATGGTAATTCTATTTTTAACTTTTTGAGGACCTGTAGTACTGTTTTCCACAACTTCTGTATCATTTTACCTTCCTATCAGCAGTACACAAAGGTTCCAGTTTCTCTACATTCTCACCAGTACTTGTTATTTTCTGGGATTTGTTAGTAATAGCCATCCTAATGGGCATGAGATGGTATCTCATTGTAGTTTTGATTTGCATTTCCCTAGTGATTAGTTATATTGAGCATTTTTTGTGTGCTTCTTGGCCATTTGCATATCTTTTTGGCAGGAGTGTCTATTCAAGTCCTTTGCCCATTTTTGAGTTGGGTCGTTCATTTTTTGCTGTTGAATTTTAGGAGTTCTCCATATATTCAAGATGTCAATCCCTTATCACATACATGATTTGCAAATATTTTCTCTCATTTTGTGGGTTACCTTTTTACTCTGTTGATAGTATTTTTTGATGCACAAAATTTTTAATTTTTGTGAAATCCAATATGTCTTTTTCTTGTGTTGCCTGTGCCTTTGGTGTCCTATCCAGAAAATGATTGCCAAATCCAATGTTGTGAAGCCTTTGCCTTATGTCTTCTTATGAGAGTTTTATAGTTTTAGGTCTTACATTTAGGTTTTTTGTTCATTTTGAGTTAATTTTTTATATGGTATTAGGTAAAGGTCTGACTTCATTCTTCTGTATATGGGTATTTAGCTTTTTCAGCACTATTTGTTGAAAAAACTGTCCTTTCCTCATTAAATGATCATGGCACCTTTGTCAAAAATCATTTGCCCACACATGTGAAGGTTTATTTCTGGGTTCCCCATTCTGTTCCATTGGTTTCTATGTATAATGTCTGTTTTTATACGAATACTACACTGTTTTGATAATGTAGTTTTGTGGTGTGTTTTAAAATCGTGAGGCATGAGCCCTCCATCTCTATTCTTCTTTTTCAAGATTGTTTTGGCTATTTGGGAGCCCTTGAGATTCCATTGAATTTTAGGATGGATTTTTCTGTTTTTCCAAAGAATGTCATTGGGATTTTGATAAGGATTAGATTGAATCTATGGATTGCTCTGGGTAGTATTAATATATTAACAATATTAAGCTCTTCTCAAGGAGATGCCCAATTGTAAAAAGAGAAAAAAAGAACGAACAATGTTAACAGTCTTCCAATCCATGAACATGGGATGTGTTTCCATTTATTTATGTCTTCTTTACATTTCTTTCAACACCATTTTGTAGATTTCACTATGTGAGTCTTTCTTTCACCTTTTGGTTAATTCCTAATTATTTTATTATTTTTGATACTGTTGTAAATTGAATTGTTTTTGTAATTTGCTTCTCAGACTGTCTATGGTTAGTATATAGAAATGCAACTGTTTTTTGTATGTTGACTTTGCCTCTTGCTACCTTGCTCAGTTCATTTATTAGTTCTAACAGTTTCTGTGTGTGGAATCTTTAGGGTTTCCTACACACAAGATCATATCATCTGCAAAAGGAGATAATTTTACTTCTTCTTTTCTAACTTTGATGGCTTATTTTTTTTCCTTGCCTAATTGCTCTGACTAGAACTTCTAGTACTATATTGACTAGAAGAGGTGAAAACAGGTATTCTTGCCTTGTTCCTGATCTTAGAGGAAAAGCTTTCAGTCTTTTACCATTAAATGTGATGTTTACTGTGGGTGTTTCATATGTGACTTTTATTATGTTAAGAATTTTTTTTTCTATTCCTAGTTTGTTGAATTTTTTTTTTAATCATGAAAAGTGTTTTTTTTTTTTTTTCACAGCCCTGAAAATCATCACATAAGGGTGTTGATCATGTGTTTTTTTTCCTTCATTTTGTTAATGTGGTCTAATACTACATATGAAGCATATAATTCATTGTCCTTAATTACATTCACAGTATCATGCAACCATCATCACTATCTTCCAAAACGTTTCCATCATTTCAAACAGAAACTTTGTACCCATTGAGCAATAATTTTCTATTCCCTCTATCCTCAGGCCCTGGTAAGCTCTCATCTACTTTTTGTCTTTTTGGATTTGCCTGTTCTAGATATATTATATAAGTGGAATCATACAATATTTGTCTTTCTGTTTCTGGCTTCTTTCTTTCTTTTTTTTTCATTGTTAACACGGTTTTGTTTTTCAGGCTGTCCATTGCCATTGGTCAGCTTGAACTAGTCCAGAGTCCAGCAGGAAAGTGCATGGTGTACCAGATTCACCATCTCTTAAGTTGCTACTGTTTTCTCTTCTTTACTGAAAGATTGTACTGAGCCAGTCTTTACCTATGACAGGCCGGTGACACGAACACTTATTGTGCTGTTCTTCAGGCTTTTCTGAGTCAGCATCTTTTCTTTGGCTTCATCACGTACAGAAGGATTCCATGGAGAAAAGCTAATTGCATGAGTCTTCTATTTTAGATTGGTCAGACAAATGAGTAATGCACACCTTAACACTGTCAACCACTTTACTCTTAAAAAGCTGAACATCTTTCTCATACAGTATTGCAGCCTCTGGGTTTAGGGGGCTTTTTTATCAATCTTGTAGAAAACTCTCCCTGCATATTGTTAGTACTTGCCAAATTTGATTATGATTCCACCTCCATTTTCCAAATGCTCTCTTCACATCCAGTTCATCTGAGGTGGCATCACCTAGTAGGTGAAAGATGGGAATACCGAATATCGAGCATGGATAGTCACCATCTGGATAGTAATCAGGGATGGATGTAAACTGCAAACTTAAATACACCATCTTTTTTTTTTTTTTTTTTTTTTGAGACAGAGTCTCGCTCTGTTGCCCAGGCTAGAGTGTTCTGGTGCGATCTTGGCTTACGGCAAACTGCCTCCTGGGTTCAAGTGATCTCCTGCCTCAGCCTCCTGAGTAGCTGGGATTGCAGGCACGTGGCACCACACCAGCAAATTGTTATAGTTTTGGTTAGAGACAGGTTTCACCATGTTGGCCAGGCTGGTCTCGAACTCCTAACCTCAAGTGCTCCACCCACCTCAGACTCTCAAAGTGCTGGGATTATAGGTGTGAGCCACCACGCCTGCCTAAATATGCCATCTTGATAAAGTCTATGCTCTATGATTATTAGTCCAAACCACTTTAATACAGAGGGATAAGATGGCTGCACATAGACACCTAATAACATCTGCTCCACAACCAAGGTAAATTCTGCAAGAAGAGAGTATTTCAGGTGGACGAGTCTATAGGAAGCATGCATGCCATTTGTTGACTCTGCTGCTGGGGCAGAAGGTGTAGGCTTAGTTATGGGCAAAGCATTTTTGGGAATAGAAGGCAGCTGTTTCTTTGGCATAGTTCATGGAAGACTGATTTTCACATCCCCTGCCAATGTTTTCAGCTTCAGATCATTTCCATATAGAGCTTGTAGACATGCTCCCGAAAGAGTTTATAATGTGTACTCCAAACAAAGAAATTCAGTATTATGTCATCAGACTCTTCTGTCCTCAGCATTCAATTTACCAGCCTTCTGGGCATCGTGCCTCACCTCTGCACCTTCAGTGTAGAGTTCCCAGCTGCCCATCACCTTTGCGGCCCAGCAGCATCTCTGGCCACAGTGCCAATCCTGCCCCTGCTTGCTCCCTGCCCTGTCCTGGCTTATTTCTTTTCTTTTCTGAGACAGGAGCTCACTGTGTCAACCAGGCTGGAGCGCAGTGGTGTGATCACGGCTCACTGCAGCCTTGACCTCCCGGCTCAAGCAGTCCTCCCACTCAGGCTTCCAAGTAGCTGGGACTACAGGCACTTGCCACCATGCCCAGCTAATTTTTTGGTATTTTTTTTTATAGAAATGGGATTTCACCATGTTGCCTAGGCTGGTCTCAAACTCCTGAGCTCAAGTGATCCTCCTGCCTCTGCCTCCCAAAGTACTGGGATGATAGGCGTGAGCTACCACACCTGGCCTGGCTTATTTTACTTAGCATGTTTTCAAGGGTCATTCATGTTTTAGCATGTATCAGAACTTCATTCCTTTTTATGGATTAGAAATATTCCATTGTATGTATTTGCCTTTTTTGTTGTTGTTGAGACAGCGTTTCACTCCTGTTGCCCAGGCTGGAGTGCAATGGTGGGCTCTCGGCTCACTACAACCTCCACTTCCTAGGCTCAAGCAATCCTTCTGCATCAGCCTCCCAAGTAACCGGGACTACAGACATGCACCACCACACCTGGCTAATTTTTGTATTTTTAGTAGAGATGGGATTTCACCATGTTGCCCCGGCTGGTCTCGAGCTCCTGGCCTCAAGTGATTTACCTGCTTCGGTATCCCAAACTTCTGGGATTACAGGCGTGAGCCACCGTGCCCGGCAGTATTTACCACATTTTGTTTTTCCCTTCATCTGCTGATGGACTTTTGGGTTGTTTCCGCCTTTTGGCTATTTTGAATAAAGCTACTATAAACATTGGTGTACAAATATTTACTTGAGTCCCTGCTTTCAGTTCCTTAGATTACATACTTATGAGTGGAATTGCTGGGTCATATGGTAATTCCATGTTTAACTTTTTGAGGAACCTCTTGTTGCATTTTGAGTTGATTTGGTATAAGATATGAGGAGTGCTATAATAATTTCCAAACATGTTTTCATTCAGGATGAAGGCAAATGTTTGTCCCAGGAGAAACCCAGGGCCTCTGGTCCCTTGAAGTCACCTGCCAGTCTGAAAGCCCATACCTGCAAACAGGACTTTAGCAATACCACAGAACTAGCCACAATCAGTAAGGTAAATATTGACATCTTACCTGCAAAAGGGAGGGATTCAGTGAGTGATGACTTCGTTCAGGAGAATCAGCCAAGACACTTGGATGCCTCTAATGAGTTAGGAGGTATATGCAGTATTTCTCAAGTGAAAGAGGAGATGCTTCAGAACAACAGTAAATCCAGTGCCCAGCCTGAAAACCTGATTCCCACGTGGTCCTCTGACATTGTCGCTGGGGAAAAAAATGAACCAGTGAAGCTTCTGCAGCCCCTAATCAAAGAACAAAAGCCAAAGGACCAGGTGAGTGATATGCACACATGAGATATTGGTTTTGGAGAGAAGACTGAAAGTGCAGTTACAAATATGTGGGTTCTCTTGTCATTTTAGGAAAATCAGTAATTCTATGTATCAGTTTAAACATAGAAGAATGTTTGCATCAAACCAAAAAGAAACCCAGTACCCTGTAACAGTCACAGCAACCTGTGCCTCCTGGGTTCAAGTGATTCTCCAGCCTCAGCCTCCTGAATAGCTGGGATTACAAGCATGTGCCACCAGGTCCAGCTAATTTTTGTAGTTTTTCTAGCAGAGATGGGGTTTTACCATGTTGGTCAGGCTGGTCACAAACTTTGATCTCAAGTGATCAGCCTGCCTCGGCCTCCCAAAGTGCTGGGATTATGGGTGTGAGCCACCACGCCCAGCCTTAAGCATCTTTTTATATACTTTGGCCAGTATTTCTCCTTTGGAGAAATAAACTATTTGAATTCTTTGCCAATTTTAAAATTGGTTTATCATTTTATTATTGAATTCTGAGAGTTCTTTATTATAGATACCAGTTCCTTATTAGATACAGCATTTGAAAATATTGTCTCCCGGCCAGGAATGGTGGCTCACACCTGTAATCCCAGCACTGTGGGAGGCTGAGGCAGGAGGTCAGGAGTTCAAGACCAGCCTGGTCAACATAGTGAAACCCTGTTTCTACTAAAAATACAAAAATTAGTCAGGCGTGGTGGTGCATGCCTGTAATTCCAGCTACTCAGGAGGCTGAGGCAGGAGAATCACTTGAACCTGAGAGGCAGAGGTTGCAGTGAGCTGAGATTGCCCCAGTGCACTCCAGCCTGGGCAACAGAGCAAGACTCCATCTCAAAAAAATAAAAAAAAGAAAATATTGTCTCCCATCCTCCCCTCCCCTCCCCTCCCCTCTTCCTCTTCTGCAGGTCCTTGCTCTGTTGCTGAGGCTGGAGTGCAGTGATGTGATCTCAGCTCACTGCAGCCTGGGTGTCCTAGGCTCAAGTGATCCTCCAACCTTAGCCTCCCGAGTAGCTGGGACTACAGGCATACACCAGCATGCCTGGCTAATTTTTTCTATTTTTTGTAGAGACAGGGTCTCCCTATGTTGTCTAGGCTGGTCTCAAACTCCTGACTGGGCTCAAATCATCCTCACACCTTAGCCTCCCAAAGTGCTGTGATTACGGGTGTGAGCCACTGTGCCTGGCTGAGCATCTAATTAATATGCATCAGACATAGTCCTAAGTACTTTTAGTGTATTCTCTCAGCTAATCCTCAAACAGTAATACAATATGGCTCTGGGTATTAGATCCATTTTTAAATGATGAAACTGGGCTCAGGACAATTAAGTTTCTCACATAAGACTCCATCTAATGCCAAGCTCAATGGTCTTTTTATTGTACTTTTTAGGGTACATCCAAATAACTGATGTTTACTTGGGAAATAAATTTTTATTAAATTGGAATTCATTTAAAACATTTGTTCATTTTCAGAATGGAAAACTTATGAAAAGTTATGAGATTTTAAAAAATAATTGAATCAAACCAGTAGTTTTAGATTAACCACAATTTAAGTGATTTAATTAAAACAATTATTTTTATTTGGAGGAGGAGAAAAAAATCAGAACATTTGGATAACTGATGTCGGCATTTTGTCTTTGCCTGTCAGCATTGCAAATAAACATTCATTTTGAGAAAGACAACTCCTCATTATCTTTTTAATTTATTAAAAGATTTTGGCCAGGCGCAGTGGTTCACACCTGTAATCCCAGCACTTTGGGAGGCTGAGGCGGGCGGATCACAAGGGCAGAAGATTGAGACCATCCTGGCTAACATGGTGAAACCCTGTCTCTACTAAAAATACAAAAAAAAATTAGCTGGGCATGGTGGTGGGCGCCTGTAGTCCCAGGTACTCAGGAGACGGAGGCAGGAGAATGGTGTGAACCCAGGAGGCAGAGATTGCAGTGAGCCGAGATTGTGCCATTACACTCCAGCCTGGGCAACAGAGCGAGACACTGTCTCAAAACATTACATAAACAAATAAATAAATAAATAAATAAATAAATAAATAATTTTTTTTTTTTTTTTTTTTTGAGACACTCTTGCTGTGTCACCCAGGCTAGAGTACGGTGGTATGATCACGTCTCATGGTAGCCTTGACCTCCTGGACTCATGCAATCCTCTCACCTCAGCCTCCTGGGTAGCTGTGACTAACTGGCATATCACCACATCTGACTTTTTTTTTTTTTTTTTTTTTAATGGAGATGGAGGTCTCTCTATGTTGCTCAGGCTGGTCTTGAACTCCTGGCCTCACGTGGTCTTCCTGACTTGGCTTCTCAGAGTGTCGGGATTACAGGTGTGAGCTACCACACTCAGCTTCTTCTCATTTTCATTGTGTTTAAAAGTAGGCATGGGCCAGGCGCGGTGGCTCAAGCCTGTAATCCCAGCACTTTGGGAGGCCGAGACGGGCGGATCACGAGGTCAGGAGATCGAGACCATCCTGGCTAATCCGGTGAAACCCCGTCTCTACTAAAAAATACAAAAGAAAACTAACCAGGCGAGGTGGTGGGCGCCTGTAGTCCCAGCTACTCGGGAGGCTGAGGCAGGAGAATGGCGTGAACCCGGGAGGCGGAGCTTGCAGTGAGCCGAGATTGTGCCATTGCACTCCAGCCTGGGTGACAGAGTGAGACTCCGCCTCAAAAAAAAAAAAGGTAGGCATGGAGAGTTTGACCATTTGGATGTTCAAAAGACTATTCATTATTTTGAGTTTTTGTGTGTATTTGCTTCCTTTTATAATTATTATTTTTTAACTGTTGCATTATGATTTAATTTTATTGCACAAAAATTTGAAATTGTAACTGCTTTTGTTTTCTTTTTCTTTTCTTTTTTTTTTTTTTTTTGAGACGAAGTCTTATTCTGTCGCCCAGGCTGAAGTGCAGTGGCGCGATCTCGGCTCACTGCAACCTTCCCCCGCCAGGTTCAAGCAGTTCTCCTGCCTCAGCCTCCTGAGTAGCTGGGATTACAGGTACCCACCACCATGCCCGGCTACTTTTTGTATTTTTAGTAGAGAAGGGGTTTCACCATGTTGGCCAGGCTGATCTTGAACTCCTGACCTCGTGATCCACCCGCCTCGGCCTCCCAAAGTGCTGGGATTACAGGCGTGAGCCACCATGCCTAGCCCACTTCTTTTGTTTTCTAAGAGGAAGGTTATGTATACCTCTGTATTCAATTTTGCATTGTTATATTTGGACCATATTGTGAACTTTACATTGTGATGGGTCAATTTACAACTTCCAGGTAACACTTTAAATTGTAATATGGAAACAGTTTTTTGAGGAAAGTTTTCATGCTAAAGACAAAAACCACTTTTTATGGGCAGCTTACTTTAGTACCAGGTTGCTTGCTATACTTTAAAATGTCATTTTATTATTTTTAAGGATCAAGTTACTGGTGAATGTACTATAGAAAAACAGGGCAGAATCCACCCAGATTTACAGCCACACAACTCTGGGTCTGAACCTTCTCTGTCTCGACAGCGACGGCAGAAGAAGAGAGAACAGACTGAGCACAGAGGGGAAAAGAGACAGGTTGGCAGAGATCTCTTTGCTGTAAGTCATTTTGCTTTGGTTTGGGAGGTGGACTTTGGGAAGCTCAGTTTCTATTTAGAGCAATTAACAATTGCCAAAAGGCACATAAGAAATGCAAGGAACATATACAGAAGGGTGACAACGGCAAGATGCTAAATACTAGTTTTCAAATATCAGTGAGTTGGAAGAGAGTAAGGATTTTATCTTCTCCAGCAAAGATGGACAGATCATTTTGAAAGTTAAAGGAATAGGCTAATGAGGGTAAACCTTTGACCCCATCTGTGTTGTACTGATGAACAGTTCTTTCTTCAGCTTCTCCACAGAATCATGTTGACATCTCATTTCTTGAAATGACTTCAACAGGTATCCTCTCCATAAGCTTCTTAGATGATTGACTTTTGGCAGAGTCTTTTAAAAAAAAATGCAATGTTTTGAAGGTTTTAAGAGCAAACCACTGACACATACATAGGGAACCTGCTGATAGGGGAACATTGGAAGGGGCTATATATGAAACTGTTAATCTTCTTTTTTAATTATTTAAGTTCCAAGAGTCGCCTCCTCGAGTTTTGCCTTCTCATCCCATTGTTGGGAAAGTGGATATCACATCAATACAAAAAGAGGCTGAAAACCAACATAGAGTGGTCACTGGGTCTGTGAGCAGTTCAAGGAGCAGTGCGATGTCATCATCAAAGGTTTGTGGGAACATATGTTGGATTTTTAAAAACCTTATAGTCAGGTGTGGTGGCTCATGCATGTAATCCGAGTACTTTGGGAGACTGAAGCAAGAGGATCAGTTGAGCCCAGGAGTTCAAGACTGGCCTGGGCAATATAGTGAGACCTTGTCTCTACAAAAAATTTAAAAATTAGTAAAATGTGGTGGCACGTACCTATAGTCCCAGCTACTATGAGGCCGAGGTGGGAGGATGGCTTGAACCCAAAAGGCAGAGGTTAAGGTGAGCCGAGATCATGCCACTGTACTTCAGCCTGGGTACAGCACTGTACAGAGCGAGAACCTGTCTCAAAGCAAAAACCCTCCAAAACCTTCTTATTGGTTGTAAAATCTTGTGTATATTATGAAGTTTTGTATTAAAACATCTTCGCTCTGCTTCTTGCCAAACACTGGAAGGGACAGATGGGACAGATGTGATCTCGGCAGAATCTTTTTTTTTTTTGAGATGGAGTCTCTGTTGCCCAGGCTGGAGTGCAGTGGCATGATCTCGGCTCACTGCAACCTCTGCCTCCTGGGTTCAAGCAATTCTCCTGCCTCAGCCTCCCCAGTAGCTGGAACTACAGGTGCCAGCCACCACGCTTGTCTAATTTTTGTATTTTATTAGAGATGGGGTTTTGCCATGTTGGCCAGGCTTGTCTCAAACTCCTGACCTCAGATGATCCACCTGCCCCAGGCTCCCAAAGTGCTAGGATTACAGGTGTGAGCCACCACACCCAGCCTCAGCAGAATCTTTGATTGAAATGGACAGATTCTGTGGTTTCAGAGATGGTCACTTTCAGTGAATTAAAGAAACGAAGTAGGCTGGGCAAGGTGGCTCTGGCCTTTAATCCCAGCACTTTGGGAGGCCGAGGCAGGCGGATCACGAGGTCAGGAGATGGAGATCATCCTGGCTAACACGGTGAAACCCTGTCTCTACTAAAAATACAAAAAATTAGCCAGGCGTGGTGGCGGGCGCCTGTAGTCCCAGCTGCTCGGGAGGCTGAGGCAGAAGAATGGCGTGAACCCGGGAGGCAGAGCTCGCAGTGAGCTGAGATCGGGCCACACTGCATTCCAGCCTGGGCTACAGAGCAAGACTCCGTCTCAAAAAAAAAAACAAAAAACAAAAATCAAAACCAGAAACAAAGTAGATTTTGAATATGGCAAATGTGAAAGTCCCCATTTGCCCTTCTAAAAATGAGCACCTCCCAGAAACGAGGGCTGTGCTCATTTCTCACTAGTAGCTATAACCCTGCTGTGGGCTGGTTTCCAGTGGACACTCCTGTAAGTCCAGTGCAAGACCTTTTTTTTTTTATGGTCTTGCTCTGTCACCCAGGCTGGAGTGCAATGGCGCGATCTCAGCTCACTGCAACCACCGCCTCCCAGATTCAAGCAATTCTCCTGCGTCAGCCTCCCGAGTAGCTGGGATTATAGGCATGCGCCACCATGCTCGGCTAATTTTTGTATTTTTAGTAGAGATGGGGTTTCACCATGTTGGTCGGTCTGGCCTCGAACTCCTGACCTCGTGATCTGCCCACTTCAGCCTCCCAGAGTGTTGGGATTACAAGTGTGAGCCACCGCATCCAGCTGAGACCTTTTTCTTAATGCTGGATGATACATCATGGATTGTAGGTATTATAAGAATAGCAAGTAGGAATGGAAGTGACTCTGTGACTTTCTTTTAAAGGATCGACCATTATCAGCCAGAGAGAGAAGGCGACTAAAGCAGTCACAGGAAGAAATGTCCTCTTCAGGTAAAGTTGACTTCTTTTCTTCATCTAATTGGCAGTTAGAGGTGTGGTCCGTGGACAGAAGCACTGGTTCTGACTATGAGAGGTTGAAACTTTCCGGCAGCAGTAAAACATGTAGGAAATTGATTTGGAAAAGATTTTGAAATTTCTTAGTCAAGCCTTTTAAGAAATCATCATAGGGTGTTGAATCTGGTTCAAATATCAGCAGAAGGGGATATTAGAGAAATAACAAGAGGGCTTTGAGTGGCAGTAACTCTTGGGAGGTTTCAGACCAGAAATCAAGTGAATGTTTAACTTTTTTCCATGTCCAGTGTCCACTGGTCAGTGAATTGCTCTCATCTTAGGAACAGAGGGAGGTTGCTGGGGGAGTGGTGCTGCCCTAGGCTGAGGGCCATCATTCTTTTTATTATTTTTTAAAGATAGTACTAGCAGCTTCCATCTATTGAATGCTGACCATGTCTTAGGCATTATGGTAAACATATTAAGGGTATTATTTCATATTTACAGTAATTGCCAAAATATGCATTATTATCACCATTTTGCAGCTGAGGAAACAGAGGCTCTGAGGAGTTAAATAACTTGCCCAAGGTCACAGAACTGGTGGACCCAGAGCTAAGATTTCAACTGAAATGTCAGACACCAGAGTAATGATAAATATGCTGTTTGAGTTACTTTTGGGCCAGCTCTTGCTGGGGTACGTTCCATACCAAATACAAAGCCCTCTTCAATTGGGGCAGCCTACCACAAACAACTACTGGGGGTGTTTGCTTTTTCAGGCCCTTCAGTGAGGAAAGCTCTGAGTGTAGCAGGGCAAGGAAAACCCCAGGAGGAAGACCAGCCCATGCCCGCCCGACGGCTCTCCTCTGACTGCAGTGTCACTCAGGTGCATTACGTACTCCTAAGAGAGAAGAAGGTGGACAGTCTACTTCTGGCAGGCCTAATGCAGTAAACGTTTAAATGTCAGCTCCATTTATTTTTGGGACAGGGCCAGCTTATTACATCTTTTCACTCTTGATAAAGAAAGGAACTGGTAAATAATAGTCAAAAGGATTATGTTTGACCCATTAAGGAAACAAATTTTTCAGATACTCTTATAAACAATTGATAGCCTAATTGAAGATATTTCTTAGGTTGGTCTTTAAAACAGGACTTCCTGGCCTGATGCAGTGGCTCACGCTTATAATACTAGCACTTTGGGAGGCCAAGGTGAGAAGATTGCTTTAGCCCAGGAGTTTGAGATCAATCTGGGCAACATAGTTGGACCCTGTCTCTAAGAAAAAAAAAAATTACCTGGCAAGGTGGCGCACACTTGTAGTCCCAGCAACTCAGGGGGCTGAGGTGGAAGGATCACTTGAGCCCAAGAGGTCAAGGCTACAGTGAGTTGTGTTCATACCACTGTGCTGTAGCCTGGGTGACAGAGCAAGACCCTGTCTCAAAAATATAAATAAATAAGTAAACAGAACTTTCTAAGGACTTGCACTAGGCAACACTTTGCTCAGTCTGCTGTGATACCAACATACCCATCTGTGTTGCCAGATTCAAGTCTCACTTGCTAATCATTCCTCAATTTCTTATTTTTGTCAATGTAGTTTACCTTCTTGCCTGTAGATGATGTAGGGACACCATCTTTTGGCTAAATGGGTAATTGCTAGGTTTCTAACCCATGTTCACCTCTCTGTATAATACTCTGGGAATTTTTCCTGCTCTTTGAAAGTAATGGATGTATTATTTCTTTAACTGTATCATTTAGTTATTTCACTAATAGAGGCTGCCTTCCATATCCCAGAGTTGTAGGGTCTATGTGTATTATTAGGTAATCCTTTAAAGCACTTTAACAGTCACACATTAAGAGCAAGCTGAAGCTGGGCATGGTGGCTTGTGGCTGTTATCCCAGCTACTTGGGAGGCCAAGGAAGGAGGATTGCTTGAGCCCAGGAGTTTGTGGCCAGCCTGGGCAACATAGTGACACCCCTGTATCAAAAAACAAAAACAAATACAAAAAAACAGGCAAGCTGAGGTTGCTTAGGTAATTTAAAATGCCAGCATTCCTATAGAGCAAGCTCTCTGCTTAGGAGTTGATACGCCGGAACTAGCCATCCACTCTCCTCTGGAAATTTCTTCAGAGCTGAGACTCTTGTAAAACTTCACCTTGGCCAGGCGCGGTGGCTCATGCCTGTAATCTCAGCACTTTGGGAGGCCGAGGTGGGCGGATCATGAGGTCAGGAGTTCAAGACACCCTGGCCAACGTGGTGAAACCCCGTCTCTACTAAAAATACAAAAATTAGCTGGGCATTTTGGCACGTGCCTGTAATCCCAGCTACTTGGGAGACTGAGGCAGGAAAATCGCTTGAACCAGAGAGTCAGAAGTTGCTATGAGCCAAGATCGTGCCACTGCACTCTAGTCTGGCGATAGAGCAAGACTCTGTCTCAAAAAAAAAAACCAAAAAACAAAACAAATAAACAAAAACAAAAACAAAACTTCACCTGATGTTCTTCAGTTATTCTTGTGAACTTTATGAGTGAACTGGGATATCATATGGATAAAATCAGTTTTTGAGCTTTTTTTTGCCACAAATCGTATGGGAACAATTTTTGTATTTGTTAGATTCTCCTGCTGTATTGCACCTAGGAACATATTGTGTCTAGTTGTTGCATCTAAGACTGGTTCAAGTATCACATTCTGGTTGTGTTGTCATGTAGAATTTTATGTCTTCCAAACATTTAATAGGAAAGGAAACTGATTCATTGTCTGTCTGAGGATGAGTTAAGTTCTTCTACAAGTTCAACTGATAAGTCAGATGGGGATTGCAGGGAAGGGTAAGTTCTTGTTTTTCTGTCTCCCTTTATAAACTATTTCTTTTTTAATGAATATTAAATGTACATTTTCAGTAGTATTCAGATCTCTAGTATTCCCACTGATAAAATTATAAATGGTTTGTGGCATATGCTGGAGCTAAAAAGTCTCTTTTTTTTTTTTTTGAGACGGAGTTTCGCTCTTGTTGCCCAGGCTGGAGTGCAGTGGCATGATCTCAGCTCACTGCAACCTCTGCCTCCTGGGTTCAAGCGATTCTTCTGCCTCAGCCTCCCTAGTAGCTGGGATTACAGGCATGTGCCACCACGTCTGGCTAATTTTGTATTTTTAGTAGAAACAGGGTTTCTCCATGTTGGTCAGGCTGGTCTCGACTTCTGACCTAAGGTGATCCGCCCGCCTTGGCCTCCCAAAGTGCTGAGATTACAGGTGTGAACTAATCTGGCCAAAAATGTGTCTTCTATGCACATGTCTGATTTTCTTTTCTTTTTTTTTTTTTTTTTTTTGATGGAGTCTTGCTCTGTCGCCCAGGCTGGAGTGCAGTGGCGCGATCTCGGCTGGCTGTAACCTCTGCCTCCCAAGTTCAAGCAATTCTCCTGCCTCAGCCCCCCAAGTAGCTGGGACTACAGGCGCGTACCACTACACCCTGCTAATATTTTGTATTTTTAGTAGAGATGGAGTTTCACCATATTAGCCAGGATGGTCTCGATTTCCTGACCTTGTGATCCACCCGCCTCGGCCTCCCAAAGTGCTGGGATTACAGGCGTGAGCCACCACGCCTGGCCTGGCCATTATTTCTTCACATTTTTTTTTTTTTGACTTCTTTCTGCCCTCTTAGGGATTCCAATTGCATGTATGTTAGACTCCTTAAATTTGTGCCACAGCTCACTGATGCTCTGTTTATTTTTATGTTTTTAAAAAATATTTTATTTTTTATTTTTTATTTTTTTTTGAGGCAGAGTCTTACTCTGTCGTCCAGACTGGAGTGCAGTGGCATGATTTCGGTTCACTACAACCTCTGCCTCCCGGGTTCAAGCGATTCTCCTGTATCAGCCTCCCCGCCCCCCCGGCCCCGAGTAGCTGGGATTACAGGCACGCGCCACCACGCCCGGCTACATTTTTGTATTTTTAGTAGAAACCGGGTTTCACCGTATTGGCCAGACTGGTCTTGAACCCCTGACCTCAGGTGATCCGCCTGCCTAGGCCTCCCAGAATGCTGGTATTACAGGCATGAGCCACTGCACCTGGCCTATTTTTACTTTTTCTCTGTTTCACATTTCATAGATTCTATTGCTATGTCTTTGAGTTAATTAATCTTTTCTTCTGCAATGTCTAATCTGTTAATCCTATCCCGTGTATTTAATACATTGTATCTTTCATTTCTAGAAATTTGATTTGGGTCTTTTTTAAATATCTTTGTGTCTCCTTAGCATGTTCATGTTTTCTTCTACCTTGGCCATATGGAATATATTTATACTACCCATTTTAATGTCCTTATTTATTCTATCGGTTGTGTCATATTTGGGTATATTTCTATTAACTGATTTCTTTCTCTTCACAAATGCATGATATTTTCCTGCTTCTTTGCATATCTGGTTATTTTTGATGGGATGCTAGATACTGAATTTTACCTCATTGGAAGCTGGTATTTTGTGTTTAACTGTTCTTGAGCTTTGTACTTGAGTGTGGTTAAGTTACTTTGAAACAGGCAGAGTTTATACACAGAATCTGGGGCTGTTTCTTTTAGACTGTCTCCAAGGTTCCTCTGTCACTTTCTAGTGACAGTGGTTGTTCTGAACTCTCCTTTCTGTAGGCCAGAAAGATTGTGAGTTCTCTTGTACTTTGATCTGCCCATGGCCTGCCCTCAGGCTAAAAGGTGTTGACTGTTCTCCCAGATCTGCCTGCAGATTTTGTTTATTCTGCATTGCCTTTACATTGTTGAGTTGTATTTTGTCTAGAGTTTGTAGTTGTTATTTGCGGAAGTGTCAGGTCAGTCTGTAGGAGCTTACTTGGACATTTCAAAGCAGAACTCCCTAAAGGTTTTGCATGTAATTTTTTAACGAAAAATTCTCATGAAGTCAATTAAATAACAGAGGGATACTTTTTTCCCCCAGGAAAGGTCAGACAAATGAAATTAATGCCTTGGTACAATTGATGACTCAGACTCTGAAACTGGATTCTAAAGATAGCTGTGAAGATGTCCCGGTAGCAAACCCAGTGTCAGAATTCAAACTTCATCGGAAATACCGGGACACATTGATACTTCATGGGAAGGTTGCAGAAGAGGCAGAGGAAATCCATTTTAAAGAGCTCCCTTCAGGTGATCAGCTTATTATTATTTTTTGTTTTTTAGATGGAGTCTCACTCTGTCACCCAGGCTGGAGTGCAGTAGCGTGATCTTGGCTCACTGCAACCTCCGCTTCCTGGGTTCAAGAGATTCTCCTGCTTCAGCCTCCTGAGTAGTTGGGACTACAGGCATGCACCACCATGCCCGGCTAATTTTTGTATTTTTGGTAGAAACGGGGTTTCACCATGTTGGCCAGGCTGGTCTTGAACTCCTGACTTCAGGTGATCCTCCCACCTTGGCCTCTGAAAGTGCTGGGATTACAGGTGTGAGCCACCACACCTGGCCCAATTTATTCTTTTACAGCAAACTGGAGAGCATGTGTTTATTGGAGAAATATGTCAAAACAAGGAACTAATGCCTATAAATTTTTTGTGTGTTTTTAAAATTATTTCATTTGCATACCTCTGTAAAAGGTATATCCTGTGTTATGCAACAGAGGTATTCCTGAAAAGTTACATGAAAATTGATTTTTAAAAATAAATAAATAGATAAATGTTTGTGGTTTTTCATGTGACTTTTCTTCAAGTTAGACAGTTGTGGTATTTTTAAGGTTTAAGAGATGGTAGTGAAGCTTAAGTTCATATGTAAATTTTAAGTCATTAAACCAAACTCTTGTCATAGGGAAAAAAGAATGTTAGTATATCAAGATTTTTTTAGAAACAGGCCTGCTGGGTGCGGTGGCTCATGCCTGTACTTTGGGAGGCTGAGGAGGGCAAATTGCTTGAGTCCAGGAGTTTGAGACCAGCCTGGGCAACATGATGAAAACTACCTGTGTCTACAAAAAATACAAAAATTAGCCGGGCAGAGTGGTCCATGCCTGTAGCCCCAGCTACTCAGGAGGCTGAGGTGAGAAGATTTCTTGAACCCAGGAGGTTGAGGCTGCAGTGAGCCATGAGCATGCCATTGCACTCCAGCCTGAGTGACAGAGCAAGACCCTATCTCAGAAAATCAAATGAAATGAAATAAAAATAAAATAATTAAAAAAAAAAAAAAAAAAAAGGCCTGGTGTGGTATAATCACGCCTGTAGTCTCGCTGCTTTGGGAGACCGAGGTGGGAGGGTTGCTTGAGGCCAGGAGTTCAAGACCAACCAGGACAACATAGACCCCATCACTACAAAAAATTTAAGAATTAGTTGCAGGTGGTAGCGCATTCCTGTAGTTCTGGCTACTTGGGAAGCTGAGGCAGGATGATTGCTTGAGCTTAGAAGTTAGAGGCTATGTAGTGAGCTATGGTCACACTGCACTACATCCCCATGACAGTACAAGACTCTGTCACTTAAAAAAAAGAAATAGACCAGGCGCAGTGGCTCACGCCTGCAGTCCCAGCACTTTGGAAGGCCGAGGCGGGCGGATCACGAGGTCAGGAGATCAAGACCATCCTGGCTAACACAATGAAACCCTGTCTCTACTAAAAATACAAAACATTAGCCAGGCGTGGTGGCGGGCACCTGTAGTCCCAATTACTCGGGGGGCTGAGACAGGAGAATGGCATGAACTCAGGGGGCGGTGAGACGAGATCATGCCACTGCACTCCAGCCTGGGCAACAGAGCGTGACTCAGTTTCAAAAATAAAATAAAAATAAAATGCAAAATTTTTAAAAATTGTGGTGTTCTTGCTATAGTGGTAAAAAAGTGTTTATTTTACCCTTTGTCTTTGTTGTTGCCTTTTAGCTATCATGCCAGGTTCTGAAAAGATCAGGAGACTAGTTGAAGTCTTGAGAGCTGATGTAATTCATGGCCTGGGAGTTCAGCTTTTAGAGCAGGTGTATGATCTTTTGGAGGAGGAGGATGAATTTGAGAGAGAGGTGAGTGTCTCATTAGCTGTGTCAAGCTGCTTATGTTATAGAATTTTTTAAACAACCTTTTGAAATATAAATCACACATAACAATTCACTCATCTAAAGTGTACAATTCAGTGGTTTTTACTGTGTTTACAACATTGTACAATCATTACCATAATAGATATTAGAATATTTTCATTACCCCGCAAGAAACCTTGTACCTGTGTACCTGTTAGCAGTCACTCCCCATGGTCCCCATTGCCAAATCTGAAGTCATGAAGATTTATTTTTATATTTTCTTCTAAGAGTTTTTTAGTTTTAGCCCTTTTAGGTCTTTGGACACTTTTTTTTTTTTTTTTTTTTTTTAAGGAAAATTTAAACTTTAGGTTGGGCGTGGTGACTCACGCCTGTAATCACAACACTTTAGGAGGCTAAGGTGGGCGGATCACCTGAGGTCAGGAGTTCCAGACCAGCATGGCCAACGTGGTGAATGGTGACAGCCCATCTCTACTAAAAATACAAAAATTAGCTGGGTGTGGTGGCATGCGCCTGTAATCCCAAGGCAGGGGAGGCTGAGGCAGGAGAATTGCTTGAACCCAGGAGGCGGAGGTTGCAGTGAGCTGAGATTACGCTACTGCACTCTGGCCTGGGTGACAGAGCGAGACTGTCTCAAAAAAAAAATAAACTGTATTACCTATTACCTAAAACATGAGTACTATGTACATTCTGAATCAAAGAGCTACAAATTATAGTGCCAGCAGTTAAATGTGAATCATACTCAAGAATTTCTATATTGGTAGTTTTCTTTTTTTTAATGAAGTTTCATTTGATTCTGATAAAGCTACTGTATGCCTGATAACCTAGTGAGAATCCATGAGTTTGGTAGTTCACACCATTTTAGAAAGCACATAATAGTAACATTCAAATAAAGCATTATAGAAAGTTTTATAAAGAATGAAGTGCTGGCCGGGCGCGGTGGCTCAAGCTTGTAATCCCAGCACTTTGGGAGGCCGAGACGGGTGGATCACGAGGTCAGGAGATCGAGATCATCCTGGCTAACACGGTGAAACCCCGTCTCTACTAAAAAAATACAAAAAACTAGCTGGGTGAGGTGGCGGGCGCCTGTAGTCTCAGCTACTCGGGAGGCTGAGGCAGGAGAATGGCGTAAACCCGGCAGGCAGAGCTTGCAGTGAGCTGAGATCCGGCCACTGCACTCCAGCCTGGGCGACAGAGCGAGACTCCGTCTCAAAAAAAAAAAAAAAAAAAAAAGAATGAAGTGCTGATTGGGCAGGGATGGGTGGGACAAAAAAAAAGAAAAGAATGAAGTGTTTACTATATTTTATTTTTTTTGAGACTGAGTCTCGCTGTCGCCCAGGCTGGAGTGCAGTGGCACAATCTCGGCTCACTGCAACCTCCGCCTCCCGGGTTCACGCCGTTCTGCTGCCACAGCCTCCCGAGTAGCTGGGACTACAGATGCCTGCCACCATGTCTGGCTAATTTTTTGTATTTTTAGTAGAGACGGGGTTTCACTACGTTAGCCAGGATGGTCTCGATCTCCTGACCTCGTGATCCGCTTGCCTCGGCCTCCCAAAGTGCTGGGATTACAGGCGTCAGCCACCGCACCTGGCTTGCTGTAATTCTTTTCAATCTTGAAAAATCGATGGATTTTTAAAATATCAGAAGACAAGGAAAATGAATTCCGCCCCACCCAAAAAATATATATAAGAACCACTTACTGGCACTTGTATTTTAAGTACCTGGAAAAAAACGGGACAGATTTTTAAAGGCAATTAATAACAGCTGTTACTGTTGTAACCAAGGGAGTTATAGAGAAATGCCACACTTTGAGACAAATTAAGGATTCCTTTATTAGCCAGCGACCGAGAGGCAGCTGACGCTCAAAATTCTCTCAGCCCGGAAGAAGGGGCTGGTTTTGTTTTTATACCGTAGTCTAAATAGGGGAGTGGGGGGAATTTAGCTGAAGCAATTTTTACAGAAGCAGAACTGGCAAAAAGTTAAAAAAGTAATTGGTTACAAATGCAGTTACAAAAAAAAAAAAAAAACCAGTTCCAGGTGCAGGGGCTTAAACTATCACAAAGAGATAAATGCAGAGGTTGGGGTGCCATCCACCGTGCGTGTCCCCAGGAGCTGCTGGTGCAGCTTGCCTCAATATCTTATCAGTAGGTGCATTCCTGGACATGCTTTGAGTCGGTTTACACTAGTTATGCACTTAAGGGAGGGAGGTAAAGGGGGCTGCAAGTGAAGAAACTAAAATGGAGTCTGTCTGGCTATCTCTTCTAGGAGAGAGTCACTCAGGTTAAAACAGGGTAGGGTATCACATTCCCCACTCATGTTTTGGGGAATCAAATCATTGATTCTTCAGTAATAGCAAGGGGGTTATACTGGGTTCTGAGATACATAAGTTTGACAGAAGCTATGCGCTGCTTTACAAAGTTAAGGAACCAATTTAATATACAAGTCCTGAAGATTAAACTTAACAAGAGGAGAAGGTGTCCTGCCAATCCAGTAATTAAAGTAGTTAGCCATGGATTTCAGTTGAACATGCTTTGATACCAGGGGATGTTACTTTCTCATTCTTGTTGGCGTCTATCTAGATTTTCTTGAACTCTTTGGAGGTTATCTTTTATGACTCCAGACTGATTGGCATAGAAACAGCAACTCTATCCTAGGGCTGCACATAATCCTCCTTGGGAGAGAAATAGTAGATCTAAGCCTTAGCGGTTTTGAAGAACTACTTCAGTTAGAGAATTTACTTGGGTATGTGGCATATTTATGGCTGACTGGAGATTGCTTAAATCAGCATCTACTTGCTGAGACAGGGACATTAGTCCAGTTTCTCCTTGAACCAGAGCAGCCGTGCCAATGGCTGCTGACCCAGCTATGCTAAGGCCGGCCAGGAGGGGTACTAGGAGCGGGGCAGCTCGGCGAAACCTGGAATGCAATTCAGGGGGAGGAATAAGAAGTTGCCCTTCTGGCCAATAGACCTGGGGGAGTACATGCCTTCTGGCCCTCTGTACACATAGACCTGGGGGAGTACATGAACCAACACACACAGGAGAGGTCCGGGTTCAGTCCTGTTGATGCAGCGAGTGAGGCCTGAAGTACAAGCCAACCAGGTATTGTTACGTGCCTGGTAGGAAACTGAGGCATTTAAGGAAGTAAGTAGAGATTGATTACAGGTGACCTGAAGGGAGAAGCAGATAAGTTATAGCTGTTGCTAATTAGGAGGCGTTCCCTGATACGTCACCTAGTGTAAGGGCATGGGGTCATGTATGACAAGAAAGAGAGTTAACCTTGAACATGGCCTCTACTCCTAAACCAACGTAATATGGGGGTTTTGCTTTCAGGTACAACCAACAATCTCGGACTAGTTTAGGCTGGGTGAGATTAAGGAGGTGATGCACCCCGTCCAGAATGGACATCAGACTGGGTTGGAGATGTTGTCGTTGTAGTTGAGATTTAGGAACCAGGAGTGGTGGGACAGTTAAATCGACCCTGTCTGGGTGTTTTTGGAACATAGGGTCACCTAAATCAGTTAGAGGTCCTATTGGCTTAGGAGGGCTTCATGGGACCAGGACCTTTTTCTGAATGGTGAACATAGTTCCAACATCAAATCCTGAGATATAAAGCCTTAATCCCCATGACATGCCATAATACCAATGAGCTGAATTAGAGTTATGGACAGTTATAGTAAGAGGGTTGCAATTTCTTATAGTACACGGTCTAGGACGGGAAGTGTGAGTTATGGAGAGGGTTGAGGACCAGGTTGATCCTCCAGAGTAAGTGGCCAGGGTTACACATGACCAGTGAGGGCCGAAAAACTAAAAGGAATCTCGACAACTAGAGTCAGGGTGATTTCCAGGACAGAGGTAAAAATCAACGCTCTGGAGTCCTTTTTCTACTCCTTTAGAGCTCCCACATCCAGTCCGGCTTCCCGTATGTGCGAATCCTGTGTCAGGTCAACGTTTCCTGCTCCCGTGACCGGCAGATTGCATTGCTCTTCGTGGGTACAGGCAGGCTCTGGGAACAAAGCATATAAATCGACTGCAAAAGAGACTTCTTTGGAGGTTCCTGCCTTCCAAGTAGCGTTCGCACACACATGTCCTGTCGTGAAAGGAGGAGAAAAGAGTAGGATGGAGCAGAGGGCGTGATAGGTGGAAACAAACAAAAGAGGTAAATAAAAATAATTAATTTGATGGCTTCACGCAACTTAGACGCAGTTTTTTTTTTTTTTTTTTTTTGAGACGGAGTCTCGCTCTGTCATCCGGGCTGGAGTGCAGTGGTACAATCTTGGCTCACTGCAACCTCCACCTCCCAGGTTCAAGTGATTCTCCTGCCTCAGCCTCCTGAGTAGCTGGAATTACAGTTGCCCGCCACCATGCCTGGCTAATTTTTTTGTATTTTTAGTACAGATGGGGTTTCACCGTTAGCCAGGATGGCCTCAATGTCCTGACCTTGTGATCCGCCCACCTCGGCCTCCCAAAGTGCTGGGATTACAGGTGTGAGCCACTGCGCCTGGCCAAGATGCAGTTTTAAGGGGCGTGGCTCAGGCTTGGGGATCCATGTTTCTTGCTGGGTCTTGCTGGCCTTTTTGATGTGAGAGTGATAAATCCAAGCAGGAATGCCGTCCACCTTTAGAGCTGTCGGCGTGGTGAGGATGACAGTATGAGGTCCTTTCCAGGCAGGAATGAGTCCTTTCTGGAACTTTTTAACATACACCAGGTCACCCGGCTGGAAAGAGTGACAGGGTCCTGTCTGGTCAGGAACTGGATTTGGGTGTGCTCCCCGGACAACCAGCTGGATGATGTCTCGTACCTGTTGGAGAGACTGCAGATACTGTAATAAATTAGCTTGAGAGATTTCTGCTAAATGGGTGTCTCTCAACGTAGACAAGATAGACAGAGCCCTTCCTTACATAATTTCAAAAGGTGAAAACCCAGCTCGGTCAGGGGTACATCTTACTCTAAGAAGGGCTAAAGGAAGGAGCCTCACCCAATTCTCACCGGTTTCTGGAATTAATTTGTAAGAGTATTTTTTAGGTGCGGTTCATGCGTTCTACATGTCCAGAGCTCTGGGGTCGATAGGCACAATGGAGTTTCCATTTGATGTTTAATGCCTTGCTGACCGACTGAGCTATGGATGAGGTGAAGGCTGGCCCATTATCAGACCCTATGGCAACAGGCAGCCTGTGTCTTGGGATGATTTCATTTAGTAAAAACTTTACTACTGTAGTGGCAGTGTCTACTAGCACCAGGAGGTACTTATACCCTGCCCGGTGCGGTTTTATCTCTGTAAAATCAATTTCTCACCTTTCTTCTGGTGAGTCTCCACAGAGACGGTGGCCTGGGCTGGGTTTGGGACCTTGCTTGGCGTTTACCTGAGCATAAGCGGTACACTGGAGAGCTGCGTCGTTAGCTAAGTCCTGAAGGTGGGGGATCTTGAAACGGCTCCTTACAAGCTGGGCCAGTTTTCCTCCTCCCAAATGGGTGGTAGAATGCAAATGACTGATTAAAGTTTTCCCGAGGGCTCGGGGTATGAAGATTCTGGAATCAGGAAGAATCCACCAACCTTCTTAATTTTTATTAGCCTGAAGATGTGAAGCCTGTTTCTCTTCCTTTGTGGAGTATTTTGGGTGATTTGGCAAGTTGGGCTGTGGAAAAGACACAGTGGGCAGCAGGACCAAGGGCATTACTGGGAGCCGAGTGGCTTCTCGGCCACAGTCTGCTGTTCGGTTACCATGGGCAACAGCTGTGTTTTCTCTTTGATGTCCTTTGCAGTGAATTACAGCCACCTGCTGAGGAAGCCAGACAGCTTCAAGCAGGGCTAAAATTTCTTGTTTTTTAATAGTCTTTCCTGCTGAGGTGAGTAGTCCACACTCTTGATAGATGGCTCCATGTACATGTACAGTAGCGAAAGCATACCTACTGTCAGTGTAAATGTTAATACGTTTTTCCTTACCCCATTGGAGAGCCTGAGTGAGGGCGATCAATTCAGCCTTCTGGGCCGAGGTACTTGCTGGCAATGCCTGGGCCCATAGCACATCTGTCTCCGTAGTAACGGCTGCACCAGCCTTTTGTACTCCCTGTTCAAGGAAGCTGTTACCATCTGTAAACACGGTGGCATCTGCCTTGTTTAGGGGCACATCTTGGAGATCAGGTCGGCCAGTTTCCGTAGTTTCTAAGAGTTGCTGGCAGTCATGGACAGGTGTAGTGAAGTCTGGATCAGGGAGTAAAGTAGCTGGATTTAACCACCTTGTGGGAGAGGAAGTCAAATCAGGCTGATCTAACAGTAAACTCTGATACTGCAGGATGCGAGCATTTGACATCCATTTGCCAGAAGCACTTTGCAGCAAAGTCTCTATGGCATGAGGAGCCGTAAGGGTTAAATTTTGGTCCAGAGTCAATTTATCAGCCTCCTGGACTAGGCTTGCTGCTGTAGCTTGCAGACAGCTTGGCCATCCAGAGGCCACAGAGTCCAGTCTCTGCCAAACAAATAGGCTACTGGGCATCTCCAGGGTCCTAAAGTCTGAGTGAGCTCCGCCTTAGCAACTCCCTGGCTCTCATGAATAAAAAGGTGAAATGGTTTTGAGATATTAGGGAGGGCTAGAGCAGGGGCCTCAGTTAATGCCTTTTTCAGGTTTTTGAAAGCCTGTTCTTCGGTGTCAGTCCAAACTAGTGGGCCATTCCCTCCAGTAGTGGTGTACAGGGGCTTGGCAATCTCTGCAAACTCTAATATCCACAGGCGACGGTATCCCGCGGCCCCCAGGAATTCACGTACCTGTCTTTTGGTGGTGGGAGTGGGGATTCGCAGGATAGCTTCCTTACAAGCACTGGTGAGTGCCCTTTTTTCTCTGTTTATCTCATACCCTAAGTAGGAGACTCTGGGAAGACAAAGCTGGGCCTTTTTGGCCGAGATGCCCGAGTTCCTGAAGGAGGTAAAGTAGGTCTCTAGTATGTTGCAGGCAGCTGTCAGTAGTTTCAGTAGCTAATAAAAGGTCATCTACGTACTGAAGAAGAGTACAGTTAGGGTGTCTGGCTCAAAATGGTATAAAATCCTGTTGGAGGGCTTTCCCAAAAAGGGTGGGGGAATTTTTAAAACCTTGAGGTAACCGAGTCCAGGTCAATTGGGTGGTGTCTTCTGAGCCAGGATCTGTCCATTCAAAAGCAAAGATAGGTTGGCTTTTGGGGGCCAGAGGAATAGCAAAGAAAGCATCTTTTAAGTCAAGGACAGTGTACACTGTGTGTTCTGGTGGGAGCAGGCTGAGTAAAGTATAAGGTTAGGGACAGTTGGGTGGACAGTGACTGTCTGTTAACTTCCCTTAAGTCCTGTATAGGTTGGTAATCATTTGTTCCGGATTTTTGGACCGGCAAAAATGGAGTATTCCAGGCGGACTGACATGGTGTAAGTATGCCAGCTTATAACAGTCGCTGAATATGGGGGTTGATTCCCTCCCTAGCCCGCTGACTCATAGGATATTGCTTTATCTGGACTGGCAAGGCGGTGGCCGGGAGTTCCACTACCTCTGAAGGGTGGTGCTTAGCCAGTCCCAGGGGTTTGACTTGGCCCAGACTCGAGGAAAGAGTCTGTAAGTCTAGGAGGAGAGGATTAGTTTTATTTTCTGGCGGTTGTGAAGGTGAAACTAAGAGATATTCTTCTGACAGAGGGGTGGTTAGCAGGAGCTGAGCAGCGGGAGGTGGTGTGTCCCCTAGCATGAGGTGAGCTTGTTGGGCCAAGAAGGAAATAGATTCCTGCAGCTTGTGGGGCAGGTCTCGTCCTAGGAGGGGAAGAGGACACTCTGGGACCACGAGAACGAGTGTGTTACTCTTTTCTGCCCTAAACTCACCTCTCGTGAGTGGGTGACAGGATATTCTTGAATAACTCCAGTAGCCCCCCATACAGCCACTTTTTTATTAGAGACACTGCCTAGGGGCATCTGCAGTACTGAGTGATCCGCCCCCATGTCAATTAGGAAGCGTACAGGCTGGCCCCCAACTGTGGCGATCACCATGGGCTCCTGGGGGCCAAGTGTAAAGGAGCCCTGGCCCATCAATCATCAGATTCCTCTGCAGTGGGGAGGGTGAGGACTTTTTTCTCTTTTGGCTTTTCCTCTGGTCTTAATGGGCATTCCTTTTTCCAATGTCCCATCTGCTTGCAGTAAGCGCACTGGTTTTTCTCCAGGGGAGCCCGCTCCCCTTTCTGACCCTTTTGGCGGGGACCCAGGGTTCCCTGACCATTTTTCTGTGATGGGGGTCTTTCCTTCTTGACTTCCGGAATGGCAGCCGCTATGATTTTTGCCTGTCTTTTTGATGCTTTGTCAGCAGCCTTTTCAGCTGCCTGAGCTGCCTGTTTCTGCTTTTCAAACTCTCAGTTGTCAAAAACCTTTCGGGCTATCTCTAAAAGCTGACTGATGTTCATTCCGGCAAATCCCTCTAGCTTTTCTAATTTTCTTTTGATGTCAGGGGCTGCCTGAGCCACAAATGCCAAATTAAGAGCACGGCTATTTTTGGGAGCCACCGGGTCAAAAGGGGTGCCAGTCCGATAGGCCTCCTGGAGGTGTTCCAGAAACGCTCCTGGTGACTCATCAGGCCCCTGGACAACTTCAGATGTCTTAGACAAATTTATGGGTTTTCGAGCAGCTCCCTTGATACCCACAAGGAGATACTGGTGAAAATTGTCTAAAGCTCTCCTTCCACCTCAGGAGTTTGGGTCCCAATTAGGCTGGGTAGAGGGAAAAACCTCTTCAATTTGGTCTTGGGCTTCCTCTTCTGGCCCACCCACTAATGTAATATTTTCTGGCCTCCCTTCTGGTACGTTCCCTCTTTTCAGAGGTGAAAAGAGTTAAAAAGAGTTGCTGACAGTCATCCCAGGTGGGTCCGTGAGTCCGGAGCACGGACTCCATTAGTGAGGTCAAAACCTGGGGCTTTTCAGAAAAGAGGGGATTATGAGCCTTCCAGTTGTACAGGTCAGAGGTAGAGAAAGGGACATAAACTAGGAAGGGAGCTGAGCGCTCATCACCCGGAGGGATTTAGGCCTCTCTCAGTGGGAGGAGGGTGGCTACCTCCTCCTGCCTTGGTCGCAATTGGGAGGCTATGGGTGGAGAGCCCACAGGAGATGTAGTCGAGGAAACAAGGGAAGAATCTTGGGGAGCAGGAGGCTTATAGGGCAGCGAAAACTTTCCTCCTCTTCAGAAGGAGGTAGTACAGGAGGAGCCGAGAGGGCTGAGAGTCCGCACAAAAATGCAGACCGACTCAAAAGGACCTTGGAAGTGGGATCATGAATGGTGCATGAGTGGAACCAGGGAGGAGGGTTCCAGACCAAATCCAGCCATTGATCAATGTAGGGAAACTGATCGGGGTGACTGGGACTTCCAGTAACGACCCGCCACAGAGCCTGAACAGCTGTGGGGTTAAATGACCCTTCTGGGGGCCACCCAGTTCCAAACTGTGGCCATTCTACTTCAGAGTGTCCAGAGTTTGCCTTTCTTCAGTCAGACTCCGTAATCCTCTGAGAAGCCACAAGAGAAATTCTGCAACATACATTGGAAAGGACTCACTCTTCACAGGGCTGGGAAGAGGAGTTTCCCATTTTGGAGGCAGTTTAACAAGGTTTGAGCAGAGATATTAAACCCAACACGGACAGAGAAATTCACAACCTAGGGGGCTGGCGTATTGGAAGAACAGAAATAACACAACCAGAAAGAGCAGGAAAACAACTATAGCCAACACTTCCTGCCACATGAAGTTGGTTTTCTTAAGCTTTAAGATTTAGGGAGGAGGACTAGAGGCCGACCCGAGGGCTCCTTGGCCAGCCGGACCTAGATGACCTCCCTCTTCCCCTTGACCTACAGCCTAAATATTTTTGGTGTCTCCATGACTCAAAGACAAAAAGTTCCAACTTGACCTTCTCTTTCAAGGGTTTTAGGAGGGAGAGCAGAGCCAAATCTTGGAGGCGCTGGACTTGCTCTGACACAGGAAAACGAGACATGTAGGGTAAGGGATAAGGATGAGAAGGAAAGGGGCCACTCGGATCTTTTCTAAGGTAGGAGAGTAGCCACAGGGGAACAGAATAAGAGTCCAGACAGAGTAAAGCAGTATGAGCGTAGGCTTCTCTACACAGACTTCAAAAGCACGTGAAAAGTTACAGGATGACAGAAAAGGTGGGCAAGCAGGTCTGCAGGGTGGCTATTTTGAATCCACCACTGATCTAATGTGGAGGCGGTCCAGTCACTTGGGCATGGGATGCGGTCCAGTCACTTGGGCATGGGATGCGGCAATCTAAACTCTAGCAGCCTTTATGGTGCCAGAAATTCCAAATGGGCAAATGTTTCCCACACCCCTTCCTGTAACACCACCTGATTTGTTTCTGACAGAAAAGGCAGGACTGGGACGGCCAGCCCAAACAACTGATGAGGAATTTGACCTCCTGTGGTAGAAAATCAGTATTGAGGACCTTGAAGTAGTTCTTTCCCAGTAGCCTTGGGCAGTAGCGGTGACCTGACAGATGAAACTTAGAAAGACACTAAACAAGACAATAGACACTAGTGCATATAAACAAGTTTGACAATTTTTTTTTTTAATAGACAGACAAGGGGTAGGGGTCCTGTGATGGGATCAGTCAGATGCCTGCCTGGCCGCTCCCCCTGAGGGGACTTAGGCTCCTTGTCCCCTCATTGGCATTGGCAGGCTGGTATAAACCCCTGGCTCGGATTGAGCTATGGCCGATGCTGCCTTAAGCCTTATGAGGTCGCCACAGAACCGCAGGTGAGGGCCCACTCGAACTCCGTAGCTTTCGCTGTGGACAAACTGGAAGTTCAAGTACAAGCCCTTGACCTCCCCATTCACGCACTCATTCACACAGAGTTTATAACGGTTTTATTCTTCTAAAACAGAGGTCTCCAGGAGACCTGAACAAGAGAAGGAGAAGAGATAGAGAAAGAGACTGAGAGAGAGACTAGTCTTTAATGGAGAGGCCGGCCTGCCAGAAACCAGGACTCAGTCCTCCAGCGTCCTGGAATATGGACAGAGTCAAGGGAGGGCCCCCGTTAGGGCCACTTCCCTTCCAGAGAGACACAGAGGCACCTAACAGAAAACCAGGACTCTGTCCTCCAGTGTCCTGGAATGCGGGCAGTCATAAAGGGAGGGCCCTCGTCAGAGCCACTTCCCTCCCAGAGAAACAGAGTCAGATCTGACTTACCTTTCTGGGACCAGAAACTGAGGACTCAGGAGTTGAATTTTTGTGGGAACACACCGGTGGTTCATCCTTCCCCTCTGGATAGACGAGGTCTTATGGGGCCCTGGAATGTCTTCAGGTGGCAGCTCACCTGTAAGTCTGCCATCTGTCTGGGGGAGGTTGGAACCAGTCTGGCTCTCGCCCGGTGGCCAGAATTCTCACTGGGGCCTCCAAATGTAACCAAGCGAGTTATAAAGAAACGCCACACTTTGAGACAAATTAAGGAGTCCTTTATTAGCCAGCGACCGAGAGGCAGCTGACGTTCAAAATTCTCTCGGCCCAAGGAAGGGGCTAGTTTTGTTTTTATACCGTAGTCTAAATAGGGGAGTGGGGGGAATTTAGCTGAAGCAATTTTTACAGAAGCAGAACTGGCAAAAAGTTAAAAAAGTAATTGGTTACAAATGCAGTTACGGCCGGGCGCGGTGGCTCAAGCCTGTAATCCCAGCACTTTGGGAGGCCGAGACGGGCGGATCACGAGGTCAGGAGATCGAGACCATCCTAGCTAACACGGTGAAACCCCGTCTCTACTAAAAATTACAAAAAACTAGCCGGGCGAGGTGGCGGGTGCCTGTAGTCCCAGCTACTCGGGAGGCTGAGGCAGGAGAATGGCGTGAACCCAGGAGGCGGAGCTTGCAGTGAGCCGAGATCTGGCCACTGCACTCCAGCCTGGGTGACAGAGCAAGACTCCGTCTCGAAAAACAAAACAAAACAAAACAAAAAACCAAAAAAAAAACAAATGCAGTTACAAAAAAACCAGTTCCAGGTACAGGGGCTTAAACTATCACAAAGAGATAAACGCAGAGGTTTTGGGTGCCATCCACTGTGAGCGCGTCCTCAGGAGCTGCTAGTGCAGCTTGCCTCTCAATATCTTATCAGTAGGTGCATTCCTGGATGTGCTTTGAGTGAGTTTACACTAGTTATGCCCTTAAGGGAGGGAGGTAAAGGGGGCTGCAAGTGAAGAAACTTAAAATGGAGTCTGTCCGGCTGTCTCTGTACTAGGAGAGAGTCACTCAGGTTAAAACAGGGTAGGGTATCACATTACAAGGGCTTGTTTCATTTGATTTAGCACCAAGTAAAGTAAGAGTAAATATGCCATGGAAGACATAGTTGGGTTTTTCCTCCACTTCTCATATTGCCTCACTTCTCCTACCAGACCACACAGTACATCAGCAACCATCCTTGTTGCCCCACTAAGGAATCACTTTAGATTCCAATTTTTAAATGGCCGGTCAGATGACGCCAGTAGAATTCTTTCCCCTTAAGAAAAGGTGGCAGTGAATGCCAAGACCAGCTCGGTAGGGGAGACTAACCCAGCGATGCTAGAGGAATTAAAGACACACACATAAATATAGAGGTGTGAAGTGGGAAATCAGGGGTCTCACAGCCCTCAGAGCTGAGAGTCTGGAACAGAGATTTACCCACGTATTTGTTAACAGCAAACCAGTCATTAATTGTTTCCATAGATACTAAATTAACTAAAAGTATCCTTTATGGGAAACGAAGGGATGGGCCGAATTAAAGGAATAGGGGCTAGTTAACTGCAGCAGGAACATGCCCTTGAGGCATAAATGGCTCATGCTATTGTTTGTGGCTTAAGCATGCCTTTAAGGGGTTTTCCGCCCTGAGCGGGCCAGTTTTTCCTTGCCCTCATTCCCATAAACCCACAACCTTCCAGCCTGGGCGTTAGGGCCATTATGAACATGTCACAGTGCTACAGAGATTTTGTTTATGGCTAGTTTTGGGGCCAGTTAATGGCCAGATTTTGGGGTACTTGCTCCCAACAAGTGAATGCTAACAAGTATCAGTTTCATTGATCAGAAACAACTCCTTCAGGAAGTTCACTTACTTTCCTGATCCTTGTTAATGTATCATGTAAATCATTTTTATTGGCACACCTGCTTACTAATTATGGTTGATTGCTATTTATGGCAGAGGAACAATCCCCAGGCATGCCTGATCTATTTACTAATGACAAAGTGTGCTTACTTTACACAGTGCCATGGGTTTTCTCTTTTTCTTTTATTTTTGGGAGGGCGGTACAATACTTTGTTATTTATCCGGGCAGATCTCATATATTTGAATCAAAAAGAGAAACTGGTAAGTAGATCCTAAAACATATTTCTTAACCTGAGTAACATCTGTAAACATAGACTTTAATTACATTTTGTTGAAAAATTCATTCAACTTTGGTGCTTATCCAAGAACTTATAATGTCAATTTCTGACATAAATAATAACCCTCAGTACATATGTATTTTCAAAAGAAAACAAGTGATCTTAAAGTAGTATTTTTATCTATGCTAATTGATACATTTTTATAGCAAATTGAAAATTCTGAGCAAACTGAAAGTATGTTTAACACCAAAATAAATTTTGCTCTAGCAAATGTTTTAAAAGTTTAGACATCTCTGATGTTTTTGAAGATAAGTGGATAAAACACACTAGATGATTTCAAAAGATAAATCTTAGTATCTATATCATTTGACACTTCCCTAGTATTCAGAATAAAATTAGTAGAAATAAAAGTAGTACGATTTTTCAAAGAATTCATACATACTGGAAGTCTTAGGAAAAGCAGCTTCTAAATGGAAGGCCTAGGAGGTTTCCTATCTTAATTCATATCATGTATTTCTCCTCATGGAGTAACTGAAGAGTTTTCTGGCTTGTTTGTGGAACTCTAGTTGGTAGGAAATCATATACATAGGGCCAAATCTTCTTGGTTTCTGCTCTGGAGAATGTTTCCATTACCCCTTTTTTTCTGGTAATATTCTAAGATTGGCTTTGTTTCGGCTCACAAGCCTTTAGTCTCTTGATAACCATCTCTGGTTTATCATCCTCTTGCTGAATGAGAGGCTCCCCAGTCAGATGATCAATGCTAACAGTTTTGGGAGGGTTGAATTCAGTGTTGTAGACTTGGCCACTGATGGGATGAATTGTACTGGTAGTTCTGATTAAACTCTGTACTCTGATATAACTGTTCTGTCTTTTTATTTATTTTTTTTGAGACGGAGTCTCGCTGTGTCACCCAGGCTGGAGTGCAGTGGTGCGATCTCGGCTCACCTCTACCTCCCACGTTCAAGCGATTCTTCTGCCTCAGCCTCCCTAGTAGCTGGGACTACAGGTGTGCACCACCACACATGGCTAATTTTTGTATTTTTAGTAAAGACAGGGTTCACCATGTTGGCCAGGATGGTCTCGATCTCTCTCTTTTTTCTTTTTTCTTGTTTTTTTTTGAGACAGAGTCTCACTCTGTCACCCAGCAGGCTGGAGTGCAGTGGCACGATATCGGCTCACTGCAACCTCCGCCTCCCAGGTTCAAGCAGTTCTCCTGCCTCAGCCTCCTGAGTAGCTGGGATTACCGGCACCCGCCACCACACCTGGCTAATTTTTGTATATTTAGTAGATACGGGGTTTCACCATTTTGGCCAGGCTGGTCTTGAACTCCTGACTTCGTGATCCACCCTCCTTGACCTCCCAAAATTCTGGGATTACAGTCGTGAGCCACCGTGCCTGGCCTATGGTCTTGAACTTGACCTTGCGATCCACCCGCCTTGGCCTCCTGAAGTGCTGGGATTACAGGCGTGAACCACTGTGCCTGGCCAACTGTTCTCTTTTTATATATTATTTTTATATCTATTATCTTTACATTTGTAAGGTTACCTTTCAGTGTGTATCAGTAGATGGGTACTGAGGCTTGAATGCAAACTGAATTCTTTGCCACATTTATTATGTTTATAAGGTTTGTCACCTATGTGAGTCCTACAATGTTGTGTTAGCTATGAAGTACAACTGGAGACTTTGCCGCATTTATTGCATCTGTAAGGTGTGCAGTGAATTCTCTCCAGTATGAATTTTCCAATGTCATGCAAGGTGTAAATTTTGATTGAAGACCTTGCCACATGAATTACACTTGTAAGGTCTCTCTCCAGTATGAATTATCTGATGGTTGGTTAGGTATAACTTGCGTCCAAAGACCTTGCCACATTCACTGTATTTGTAAAGTTTCTCTCCAGTATGGATTAGAAGATGGGCTATAAGTCCTGAATGCTTGCTTAATGCTTTCAACATTTGTTAGATTTTGTAAGGCTTCTCTGTACTTTGAATTATTTGATGCCGTGCAATTGACCAAAGACCTTGCCACATTTATTACATGTGTAAGGCCTTTCTGCAGTATGACATCTCTGAGTGAGGGAAAATTTGTGCCTCATTACACAAATTTTCATTTGTAAGGTTTTTCTCCAGTATGAATTACAAGATGGGTAGTAAGTCCTGAACACTAAATACTTTACTACATTCATTACATTTGTGAGGCTTCTCTCCAGTATGAATTATTTGATGTCGTGCAAGGTTTGAATTGCTGTTAAACACCTTGTGACAGTCACTACATTTGTAAGGCTTCTACCCAGTATGAATTCTCCAGTGATCTACAAGGTGTGGTTTGCAACTAAAGACCTTGCCACATTCACTGCATTTGTAAGGTTTATCTGTAGTATGGATTACTTGATGGTTAGTAAGGCTTGTAGACACTCTAAAAACTTTGCCATCTTAACTATGTTCATAAGATTTTCCTCTAACGTGTGCTTTGCCTTCTTGTGGGAGTAATGGGAAATCAATAAAAATCATTTCTATATTTATTTAAAGTGTGTGTTTTAACACTAGCAGAAATTTTTTGAAGTGGTGGAACTGAGGAACTATGGTTTGTAAACTTTTCAACTTGATTACTTCCACAAATTTTCCTTCCAGCTTAAAATAGCTGCAATTCAGGCAGATGTGACTGAAGGGTTAATCCAAGTTGATTTTTAATAAGCTCGTTTTCTGTATTACTTCCCAATGTACAGCTCTTCCCTGTATTCACACCTTTGATGCATTCCCTGCCATCTGGATTGTTTGCTATCTTCACCCTGCAGAGTCCAGAGCTCTTGCCTTGTCTCCAACATGGAGATAATGCTCAGGTCAGGAAGACAGATTCCCAGGAAGACAGGTTCCTGTAGTTCTCCTATATCACCTCCCTGTATAAAGCCCTCTGCACAAGGTTCAGTTATTTCCACTCCTGAGAGAATTCTGTAGCCACATCCATGAATGTCAAGTGACTCTGAGTAAGAGTCATTCCTGATTCCTTTTCTTTCTTCTTCTTTCTCTTCCGGGTTTCTTCATCACATAGCATGACTCTTTAGAAATAAAACTGTGAGACCAGGCGCGGTGGCTCATGCCTGTAATCCCAGCATGTATTAGTCTGTTCTCACACTGCTAATAAAGACATACCTGAATTGGATAATTTATAAGGAAAGAGGTTTAATTGACTCACAGTTCCATATGGCTGGGGAGGCCTTACAATCATAGCAGATGGTGAAGGGGAAGCAAGACACGTCTTACATGGCAGCAGGCAAGAGAGTGTGTGCAGGGGGACTGCCC